TGAAAAGTTGATGGGGAGGGGCAGGAAGCGTTTGAAGGCAACTGTAACTTGGTTTATGGCAGTCACAGATTGCAGTATGTAATAAAACTTTTCATAAGTACAGTGTGCTGAAACAACTCGAACTTTCAGTACTCCCAAATGGCTGCAGAAACAATCGTCCTACATCATGACTGAGCCTTCCTAGTGGTATCTGTGGGTTTTGGTTTGAGTGCTGGTATTTTAATATATATGTGGTATTTCAGAATAATTGTGTCTGCAGCTAAAATGTATTCCCTTATCTGGCTGCAGTTGAAAAGTTCATGTGCTGTTTCATTGCTTCCACTGTTCACTTAATCATACCGTGGAAACATAAGATGAATTTCTCAAGGCAGAGTCGTGCCAGTGTGGAGAAGGAAGTAACTGTCCAGTGACGCTTTGCGTTCCTGTTATGATGGATCGTGGCGAGCAGAGTGACTCACTTCAGTGTCCTAGCGCTGGTGTTATGCTGGTGGGTGAAGCAATTGCCTGGTGCTCTGAATTTGAGCAGGGCCTACACAAGGGGGGTTGTTTAAAACCTGCTTACATGTGAATTGGCAGGAGATTATTTTAGGAAGAAGAGAATTTGCACTGTCAACAAGGCTACGGTGAGGGAGACGGCTGCTTCTAACCACTCCGTATGGCTTCGTGCTCTGGGGGCTCAGCTCTGCTGTGAAGCCCTGGAGAGGTGGGTGTAATTCTGTCAGGACAGGGTTTCATCCACTTGCTTTGAAGCCAACAGAAGTTTAAAGTATAACGACGTTGAGTTTGGGGATAAACTACTTCTCAGTATCACAATGGGAGAACTCATGTAAGCAGGTTTTGGGGTTTCCCTTTAAATATCTAGTGGGAAAAGGCTTTTGGGAACCCTCTGGGATAGTGCTGCTATTTAAGGGGATAACTTCTATAGAACCAGTCTGTCAATTTTGTGGGTTGGCTGATTTCTCTCACCCCCATCTCCAAACAGATTAAATAGCTCTTGTAACTCCAAATGTAAGACTTTGATGAGGAGAAAGGTCAGGGGCTTGAGCAATGGGGAAGAAAGGAGAGGTTATATTGTAGGCTTTGCCCACATGAAAATTGCAGTTACCAGATAGTTACAAACAACATTGTTAAACTACGTAACTTCTCAGCAGTTACTTGCTCATTTAGGGAATAATGTAAGATAAAGAAGTGCTTGTACTGCCAGTGTTTCTAGCCCTGCGGTAAAGCAGTGATTTGCTTGTGCGCTATCCTTTCTGACCGAGGGATTTTGAAAAACCCTCTTATATTGAAGAAACTGTGAGCAGATGTCCCTGGGGTTTTGCAGTGGTGGAACTAAGAGTGAGGATGCTTGATATCCAGAAGTTTTTCTTTTGTTTTCATGATTGAGGGTTTTTTTTGCTCATGTTTTTTGTTTCCCCCAGCACTAGGCCAGACTCTGCCTATAATCTGGGGGGGTTTGCGTGCTTATTTCTTCCTCTTCTCACTTCTTTTTCTGCAGCCTGGAGGCACATGCTGCTCTGTTCTCTTCCTTGTACTGCCCTTCAGTCTGATGTTGGATCCATTCCCCAGTACAGTAAACTTTACTCTGTCTCCTGCTTAGTCCTGTACCTCTGACAGCAGGTAGCAAGCACAGATTCTCACCTGCTCACCTCTCTGCTGGGTGCCACAGTCACTCCCCGTCCTCAACTGTACAGGGGAGAGAGAATATAAAGAAAGGCTTGTGGGTGGAGATAAGGACAGGGAGAGGTCACTCACCAATTATCATCACGGTCAAAACAGACTCAACTTGGGAAAAGTAACTTAATTTATTGCCAATCAAATCAGAGTAGGGTCATGCGAAATAAAGCAATCTTGAAATACCTTCCCCCCACCCCTTACTTCTTCCTGGGTTTAACTTTACTCCCGATTTTCTCTACCTCTTTCCCACCAGTGGTGGAAGGAGATGGGGAATGGTGGTTGCGGTCAGTTCATCACCTGTCTCTGCTGCTTCTTCCTCAGGAGGAGGAGGACTCCTCACACTCTTCCTCTGGTCCAGTGTGGGGTCCCTCCCACAGGAGACAGTCCTCCACTAACTTCTCCAAGGTGGGTCCTTCCCACAGGATGCAGCTCTTCACCAGCTGCTCCAACATGGGTCCCTCACAGGGTCACAGGTCCTGCCAGCAAACCTGCTCCAGCCTGGGCTCCTCTCTCCATGGGTACACAGGTCCTGTCAGGAGCCTGCTCCAGCGTGGGCTTCCCACAGGGTTCCAGCCTCCTTTGGGCACAGCTGCCTGCTCTGGTGTGGGGTCCCTCATGGGCTGCAGGTGGAATCTGCTCCCCCACAGACCTCCCTGGGCTGCAGGGCACAGCCTGCCTCACCATGGGCTGCACCACGGGCTGCAGGGGAACCTCTGCTCTGGCACCTGGAGCACCTCCTGCCCCTCCTTCTTCACTGACCTTGATGGCTGCAGAGTGGTTGCTCTCACATATTTTCACTCTTTTCTTCTGCTGCAATTGCTCTCCCACAAGTTTTTTTCCCCCTTCCTTTAATCTGTTATCCCAGAGATGCTCCCACTGTCACTGATGGGCTCAGCCTTGGCCAATGATGGGTCCATCTTGGAGCTGGCTGGCGTTGGCTCTGTCAGACATGGGAGAAGCTTCTGGCAGCTTCTCACAGAAGCCATCCCTGTATCCATCCCGCTACCAAAACCTTGCTACACCAAAGACGGTTGGAGAGGGACCCAGTAATGAGGCAGTCTCCCCTGCCCTCTCTGCCATTCCTGCAGCTCCAGGCAGTCTGGCTGGTGGTGGAATTTTTGAATGCACCTTTATTCAAACCCCTCTGCGGGTAAACCAGGGTGTTGCAGCAGCAAATCTGGTGCCCACTCCTGGGGAGGGCCCTTTGGCAGGCACAGAGCTGCCAACATTAATTTTCCTTCTGCTTCCCTGTTTGCAGCATACTCGTGCCACCTTCCCAGCAATTTACTTTCTCATGGTGAAATAATCATCAATGCAGAGAACACACCTTTTATGTGGCACTTCTGCTGAGGTTGTTTCAAAGGCTTCACTTGTGCCAGTTTGGTACCAACCACTGACACTGCGATGTGCAAAGCCTCAATATCTTCATGTTGCACAAGATATGTGCACAGCAGTGGCTGCCAGGTTTACCAGTTGGGTTTTAGTTTAGTTTTTTTTTCCACTGCTTAGACAGGGAGAGAAGTCATTTGCACCACTTCGTGGCTGGCACTCCAGCTGTCACTTAGTTCTGCTCTGTTTTATACTGGAGAATGGCAGGAGGCTGAAGAATGAGTGATGGGGGATGCACAGGGCACATGCCAGAACACACCCAGACAAATGCACAGCTAATTTCCCTCCTCCCCTCCCAAATGCCCAAACTGTCCCACTGCTAGAATCAATACCCCAAATGCTAGCCTGTCATTTAAAATTCCATCGTACAGTTGTGTTGGGAGGAAACAGGGCTGGGGTCAAACCTCTTCCAAAGCTCCCTGGGTATGAAGGCTTGTCCAAAGCCTTATGGGCTGCACAACATTGCCAGCCCTCCTGTTCAAGAGCAAGTGTGAAGAAACCAGGGACCAAATAAGTGGTGAAGAAGGTGGAGCTGCAGACCAGTCACAGCTTGGCAGGCGACAGCTAAGGAACCGCTGCTTTCAGCAAAGTCTAGCATGTTGATGTTGCTGAGTGCCTTCTGTGCACAGTGTTTGCCTTAACTCTCCAAAGCTGTTGGAGCAGTGTGCCCTGGGTCTGAATCCTGCCAGTTCCAATGAGCATCAGTAACTTGGCCAAGGAAGACTTTGAAGGCTGGCTGGGTGATATGTGGTTGTAGAACCATGGGATGGTTGTGGGAATTGTTTCAAGTGTGACCCAGTGTGGTTCCTCTGAGTCCATCCTGTAGAAAAGCAGCTCCCTGGAAGCCAGCAGTGATCTTGGCTTTGTAACTGGACTTCTCATTTGTGAAGAGCAAACTGCTTTTGACTTTCTGCCACCCAATAATTCTTGCTGAGCGAAACATCTTCCCTTACTGCTTGTGAAATTCATAAAGCCATTGAACTGCTTTTTCTACCCGAGCAGAAACTGTTCCTGCTTTGGTCTTTGTTCTGCAGTTTACTCCCAACTTTCTTTTGAGAACATAATGCAGACAAATTCCAGTTTCCAGAAGGATCTTTACTGCAGCCAGGCTATGTCTGGAGTAATGCTGATCTCATTTGGTTGGAACAAGCTAGTTGTTGCTGAATAACCTATTACCCTCCTCCAAAGCTTCCATCTTTAAATCTGCACAGCGGGGATTATTTATTTAAGGATTTACGTGTGTGTTAGGGATCTAGTTTTGTTTGACCCTTCCAACAGAACAAAATGCAGTCAACTTTCCGGCTGTTTGAATTGCACCTGAAGCATTCTGCTACTGCAGAAAGGCCAGGACCAGCTTGGGACCAGCGAGGGCTGCAGCTCTGCGGGGACGTGGGTACAGCTCTGCGGCTTTCCGGCCATCTCTGTCTCTGAACCACTTCAGCACCTTTTTTAGCAAAGGAGCCTGAGCAGCTGTATCAAAACACTTTGAGTGCAAACTTCAGTCTCTCTGTATTACACTGTTCTGGAGACTGATGCAAATCTGGTTTTAGTGGAACTGGCACGGATCTGAGCAATCTTATGAGTTTGGCAACTTGTTGGTTCCTCTCTGGTATCCCCGTTTTTTGCTACCTCACATTTATTTCTCTGCCTCCCAACCCTACCCTTCCACTCCATGGTTTTCTTGAGCACTGGCTGTATCTTAAAATGGGCTTCTCTTAATGATCAGTAACACAAACGCTTGTACATAGTCTTGTTAACAGAAAAAACTTGGAGCTTGAGTAGAATTTGTTGCGCTGACACTGGGTCTGCGTTGGTATGATGTTACAAGCTAGTGTGCAAATACCTGCTTGTGGTTTATTTGATAGTGTGTGATTCTAGTTTGTAAAAAATAAAGAAATAAGGCTTCTTATTTCTTTTCTTTTTCATATTCCTAGTAACGGCCTCCCCAACTGAAGATGTCTAACAATGGAGTTGAAACTGAAGACAAACCGCCTGCTCCTCCAATGAGAAATACCAGCACGATGATTGGATCGGGAAGCAAAGATGCTGGGACTTTAAACCACGGCTCAAAACCTTTGCCTCCCAACCCGGAAGAAAAGAAAAGGAAGGACCGATTTTACCGATCGATTTTACCAGGAGATAAAAGTACAGTATTTTGTCTCTTCTTATAAACCGCCTGTCTGAGTGCTGCTCTGAATGACCTTAGTTGAGCACCTGATGCTTAGTGATGGTTTAGGTTTTAGAAAATGTTGCGTGTTCATTTCTTGCACAACTGTCTTGGTCATTTTGGGGTACGTAAGCTGCTGGCTGCAGATCTGTTTTTTCTACTGATTAATCCTGCCACATTTAATCCATCCCACTTACTCTGTTTCATGCCATTTTTTTTTTTTTTTTTAACTCCCTTCACCTTAAATTATAAGAACAGTGTCCCTTAAAATTGGGGCTAGCTCTGCCACTTCCCAGCCTGACTTGTCCTTAGTGGTCTTAAAATCATAAATTTTTGTGCCAATTAAAGCATTGGTAATTTCTTTGGTGGGGAGCGGGGGGAGGCCTTTTGCTTGTTTGCTGTTTTAAACAGCAAATAATAGGAGTTAAGCATGGCTAATAGGCAGTGTCCTGCTAGGCCCGTCATGTGTTACTGCATGGCCGTTTACTCTGTTCCAGTGTTTGGGTCAGGTATTGTCTACTTGCTGTTAAGAATAATCTGTTACTGCAAATTCTTGCACATTTCTTGTGAACTGAAGGAATTTTCTCCTGTTGTAGGGACTGTAACAGATGGAAATGGAGATAAGAACTGTAAACTGTACATGAAATTGTAATTTTTAAGATCAAGATACTTAAAAAGCCCCTCTTGTGAATCTGTTGAAGTGATGCAAAACAAAAAATCTCCATCCCCTAATATGTGTTGGTTTCTTTTTATAGCTGACCTATTTTTGGAGTTCCTCTTTCTAATACACCATCTTTTTGTAGAATCTGCACTGCAGTTGCATTTGGACACTGGGTAACTAAAGCCAAGCCTAGGTATCTTCAACTTCCTGGGCTTCAGGAGGGAGGCTGCCTCCTTAATTTTTGTTAGCTGAAAGATTAATTGGAGTGATAGTTTCACTAATTTAAATAAGCAAGGTGTAGGTTCATTTCCTATAAAATATTGCAGCATATGGTATTATTATTATCTGATACCTTTGGCAACTTTGGATTGTTTTACAAAAGTGCATTTTTGATTCTGCAATCCAGAAACTCCTGAACTCCATGTTAAAAGTTTGCTGGATCTCAGTTAGAACTTGTCATTACGAGTATTAATCCTAAAAAGCTGCAGGATTTTTGTGTTGGCTTATGTAAGGGAGTGGGGTTTTTAAATCTCTAGGCTCAACAGTTGGAGAGAACAAAGAAATCACTTGAAATTTATAAGAGAGTAAAAGAAATACAACCTGAAATACTAGTTTAAACTGGATTTTAAAGGAGAGCTGCAAAAGTGAACGGTTCGGGTAAAATCAGCAGACAGACTGCCACTGATTTGAAGATGCCTGCGTTTACTGAAGACCGGCCAACGTGGCAGATGCTTCGAGACATGAGAGATTTTTGTTTAGCCAAGCCCAGCAGAGCCTTCTGTTGCAGTACACCTGCCTGAACGGGAATGGTTGCTTCTGTCCTCTAATTCCCATCGAGCAAAAAGTACCTTTAACTCTGTCACCTTCACTTCAGATTGGTTGATTTTCATTTTAGGAAAACTTCTTCTAATCTCATGATGACAGCTAAATTCCCAGTGCCTCCTGCTGCTTAAATGTTAATGAAATTCCCAGGTGTTCAAACACCTCTCTTTGGCTTGTGCCTGAAATAATTTGTCTGTTATTTGTTAGTTTGTCTGGACTAAAAGGGGGGTTGATTTCTATTCAGTTAGAGGAATGTAATTTGGGGCAAATCCACGACCTTTGGATCTTTACCCAGGGAAGCCAGTTATTTGTATTTAACCTCTGCTGGGGTTGCAAAGAGGCTGTGAAGATCTGAAATACTTGGCTGTTATTTTTGCTAGCAAATGTGGACATGAGCTCTTATGCTGTAGCATGGGAGCTGCTAATGTTGCTCTCAGTCCATTTGGAGAAGTGGTAGCTCTTTCCTCTGGGCAGGGAACAGTACTGGAGCAGGCATTTTACAAAGGATGGGTGGAAAAGATGATGGAAGGGGTTGTGGTTTATGCAAAGGTGCAGCTCAAACACGTGGGTGGAGTCCTGCTGTGGAGCAGGTGAGAGACCTTTTGAGAGCTTGTGGTTCCAGATCAGAGGGGAACCAACATCATCTTGAGGTCAGCTTGTGCAGGTCCCTAGGTGAAGAAGGGTGGTTCTAGCTGAAGGTCTTTTCCATTGTGCTACCCCTGTGTGAACAGAGCCATGGTGTAAGAGACACGTGGGGTTTAAATCATACATTTTTGCACACTTCCATTGAGCTATGACCCCTTGCCAGGCTGCTCTGGAGGTGTCATGCTCAGCCTGCAAAATTTAGGATGTAATTTATAGTCTTGATTTCCTCTGTCCCACCCTAAGCCCCCAAACTAGTATTTAAAAATCTGTTGGCTTAATATTGGATGGGTCCTCTCTAAATGGATGCAGAGCTTATGTGACTTAGTGCTTTCAACAGGACTTGTGAACATCTGCAGTTTCTTGGGCTCAGGGCCCATCAGTGTCCTAGTTGAGGGTATGAATTTGGCTTGAATGTGGCACATTTAGCTCCTCTGAACTTTGCTGAGCTCAGCTGCAGGTTCGCACAGAGGCAGGGTTTTACCCCCAAGGTGACAGTTTGCAATGTCTGGGAGCCCTTTCCATGGTGACAGGGGCAGCACTTAACTGTACCAGTGGAGAAGACCTTTCTCATCTCAGTATGCTTCAGGATGGGCTCATGGGCTTACTTCTTGGTGGGACATCATGTTTCCTACTTGCAGCTCAAGTTGCCAAAGCATCATAAGGAAACTTTATGGGTGGCTCTTGTAACAGCATCAAATGTGAAATTTTGAATGAGAAGGTGGTAAGGTATTTGTGGCAATAAAGCACTTGGTGCTAGGGTAGGTCTTATTAAACAGATAAATGATTTCTCTTTTTTTTTTTTTTTTTTTTTTTTTCTTCTTCAAGGCTTTTTGACTCATTGCAAAGATAATATAATCACTGCAGAGCGGGATTAAGTATTCTGCATGATTGGGAGTGCCTGTCTCTTTAATTCTTTTATCTTATACCTCCTGCTATGACATAAATATCTGCTACAAAAAGCAATTATGTTTTTAATGGTTTAATATGTTTAGGCTTTTAGATCTGTCAGATTTTGGATCAAAAGTTTCTGAAGTTCATTGTCCTCTGAGACTGCTGGAGGAAAATCTCTGAATTCATGTGCCAGCTTCGTGTGCGTTCACACAATGGTGAATTCAGCTTGGGTGCTATAAAACCCTGAGTGTGGCAGGCAGGCAGATTTAAAAAAGTGTACAAAGCATTTATGGTTTCACCCACTATAATATTATCACCAAGGCAAAGTAATTTTTAGTGTGAATGTGGTAGGTGTCCCAAAGAGTTGTTGAGAGTCAGGGGAAATGCAAAGGGTTGAGGCACTGTAGGAAATGGTTGCAGGAAACTAAGATAACTGGGAGAACATTAACTGCTTCAGGGATATGAAAACAATGTTAATGCAGAAAAATCTCTTCCTGTTTCTATATTGCAGCGTAGCCATACTGAAATTCTACCAATGTGTTGAATGTGAAAAGAGTGTTGATGTGACAGAGGCCATTATGTTATTTAATTAATCCCTCCAGAACTGTTTTTATGGTTCTGTGTAGCTGAGGCTTGTTCAGGCCATCGTCTCCTGCTTTGGATAAGTTAGCAGTCAGCAGTCATCTCAGTTTGCTGGTTGAATGGATACTGGAATGGTCGATTGTAGGGAGGTGTGTTGGGATTTGGGTGTGTGGCAGGGAGGGCGGGCTGTCTGAATGTAGAAATAAAAAAACACCTGAGTGGGTTGGCTTCTGGATAGCAACTTAATGCCCTTAAGCTTTTTTTAGAGATACGTTCAAATCCACTGCGGCAGTTGTCCTGGGACCCTGTGTGGGTGTGCATCACCCGTGCAGCACTCCTGCATAGTGGTGCTAGTACAGGTGCCCTCTTCTTCCTCACCTGAGTGATGGGCTTCTAGCCTGAGCTGACACCTCACTCTTTGACTTGAAGGAATGGACTGATCCTGTAGACAAGCCTATAGAATATGGTGCCTCTGATTGTTCCCTCTGCATCTCTTTTCCTCTCGCTTTCCATCCACTGCTAGTGCATGCAGATTGTTCTGTATACCTGCTGGATGCAGCTGCTTGTTCCTTTTTTTGGAAGGCCTCTGTGCTGCAGATGCTCACCATCTGCTAACCAGCAGCTGCTTCTGTCTCCTCCTAGCTCTCCCCTTGGTGATGGCTCCTCCAGCACCGCAGCTTTCTCTCCTCCTTCCCCTTGGCAACTCTGTCAATCTTCTGTGATTCAGCTTCCCCCATCCCCTTTGTTTGAAAGAGGGATCGAAAACAATCTGTTCTGTCTTCATGTCCCAAATGGAGCATCTGAGTCTTTCTTTCTCCAAAATTACTCTGTGCAACAGTAACTCTGTAATGACACAGAGAACAGTGCCAGAGCTGGTACTGAAGGAAGCAGGATTTGGTCCTTTGGGACAAGCCCTGTCCGTCTCTACACAACTGACCACCAGCAGTGTCTTAAATAATTGCAGTATTGAGCAGTAGCCTCACAGGCTTCTGAAATACCTGGGGTTTGGCATTCATGTTGCCAAAAATGCACTGGGGAATGTCAGCCATGAAACAAATCCTGTTTGGCCATAGATAAAAAAGGTAGCAGCTGGGAAACATAAGTGGTTTAGTCACCTTCTCTTGGCCCTGCTTATTTTATAACTTCAAGTAGCAGCAAATCTGAGTAGAATGTGGTTCTTCCTTAAACTGAGCTCAATTTCTTGACTACAGTAATTATTAAAAGGAAGGTGGAGTCCTTAATATGTTATGAATATGGAAGAACTTAATTCAAGGCATAAGGATAATCTTGTTTGAGGACCTGACTTCAAAATTTGCAGGGTGCATCTGCTTTGATTTACTTCCTTTCCTGTTTCTTCTTGACTTCTGCTCCTCACCTGCCAGATTCTGCCCTCTTGCTCTGTCTTCAAAGCTTGTTATTAAAACCACATTTAGTTTATTTCGTGAGCAGAAAAATATAAACGGTTTTGCTCGTGTAAGATTTTGTAGCAGAAGCACACATGTTATATTTGGTTTTTTAATAAACTCTGTTTTGAGGAAGTAGGATGAAGGAAGCAATTTATAAGCAGTATTTGTAGTTAATTTTGTCCCTGTCTTGAGAGGTGACTGTGTATTTAAAAACACATTTTTTTTGTTTGTTTTTAAAGTTGCTTAAAACAACAAATAAAAAAATGTGTTCAAAACTGCATGGTTTCCACTTACTGCCACTGCAGTGCTTTTGCCTCTGACCTGTATAAGTTTGAGTGAATATTTTAGGTAAATAGCTCTTGTGCTGTTGAGTCTAGCTCTACCGGTAGATACTTGACATACCCAAAATACCAGTTTCCTTGTCTTACACTTGTCCTGTGTTACATGACTTTGATTTTTGTTGTCCACTCACTGTGGCTGCTCTTAAGTGAGGTAACAAAGTTTTCAAACTTGCTGTTTGTCTGCCCCAGATTGAAATCCTATGACTATCAAAGGGTGGGTGTGGTTGGGTAGGTAAATTGGAAGCTATTGGGGAGATTTTAATTCATAATGGATTTAAGGATATTGTTGTTGTTGTTATCTCTTCCAGCCAATAAAAAGAAAGAGAAAGAGCGGCCAGAGATTTCCCTCCCTTCAGACTTTGAACACACGATTCATGTGGGGTTTGATGCAGTCACGGGAGAATTCACAGTAAGTGAATCTGGAGGAAAAGATAACTGTGTGGTTTGCTTTATTGTCGGGCGGAGCCAGGACCCATTAATCTTTTATATAGTAGTGCTGGAAAGGCTATTACCATCATCTGGTTTGATCTCCTTTGAAATACATCTGCAGAGGTTACCCACTAATTCCTGCTGAGAGACTGTTTGTCGAACTTGGCACATCCCAGGAGCCCAGGCTGCCAGAAAACTTTGCCTTTCCTGTTTTTTTGGCTGATGTGAACAGCAAAACATGGTATTTCTCTCCTCCCTTTCTCTCCCCCCCTCTTCTATAGCTGGATTAGGTCTACAGCATAGTCTGTGTCCAGCAAGTGGGGCTCTGAGAGCTGCCCTTTAAGAGACACAGAGCTGTGCCTAACTATTTATGACAGACTATATATGTGCTGTCCTAAAGCTAAACGTCAGATCCTTTTATATTTTTTTTAATTGACATGCAATATACTATGAAGACAGAGTTATATTTCAGCGTATTCTTCTTCTTAATTTGATTATAGTATAGTATTTAATAGCAGCAGAAGTTGCTTGTGAGCAAGTTGGTTTTACTTGTCTTTAATACGCTTCTTTTTCAGGGACTTTACACTCCTAACCTGAATCATATGTGCAGTTGTGTTTTTCATGTCAGTCTCTAGACTTGCCCAGGTTAACCTAGATGTACTAGTGGGGCATCACCCAAGTGCTATATCCAGCCATCCTTTTGAACAGGGAGGGGAACTATTGATGAAGGGATCCCAGTCACTTGCCACTTCGTCTATACAAACTGTTATTCTTGATGGTGATAAAAAGCACAAATCTGGCTGTACTCCAGATGTATTTATTTTCTGGCTGAAATGATGCCCCTGAAATGAAATTCTGAGCTTCATGTGCAAAGTTAACATGTCTGCTTGCTCAGCTCTGGTTACAATAGGCACCAAACCGCTATCACCAAAGAACTCTTGTGCTACAAGAAGACCCAAATGAATGTTGCATGTCTGTTGTGCTAGATGCTATACAGTGTACATTACTTCTGTAGTCTTTGTTGGATATATGTAAATGTGTGTATACCTGTGCATAAAGGGATTTTTTCTGCTTGAGGCTCTTCCTGAACTGCAGCATTTAGGTCTCCTTCTTTCTGTCTTTTGAATTTTGTTTTTTTAGAGGATGTGGGGCTCACCCAGAGCCCCATGAGCAGAGTAGTGTTTGCTTGTTCATGTAAGGAACGTGTGACTCGTAACACAGACAGTGGCTACGACGGTTATTGATCCACCACCTCTTTTCCTTTCCTCTCCTCTTCTCTCTCTCACTTTTTCCCTCATAGCACTGAGCAACACCAGAAACTGCGTGGCAGAACTGTGGTCGTAGGTGTGTGTGCTGTGAACCATGTTGGTCTGACTGTGAGCTAACGAGGCACATCTCCCCACAGGGCATGCCGGAGCAATGGGCACGTTTACTGCAGACTTCCAACATCACCAAGTCAGAGCAGAAGAAAAACCCCCAGGCAGTGCTGGATGTGTTGGAGTTTTACAACTCCAAGAAGATCTCCAACAGCCAGAAATACATGAGTTTCACAGGTACACGGTGATTGTCACATATAGCTGCTTTGTCCAACTTTCCATTAGTCACTGCATGTGGGGTTTCTTTTGTTTAATCAAAAAGTAGGTCTGTCTTTTCAAGGAAAATGTGAATGAGGTTCGTTGGCTCCTCAAGCACCCCTCTTCCTTTAAAATGCTGTTCTGGTAATCCTGATGCCCAGCATAGCTGCAGAAGAGGAGGTCAGTCATCTGGCTAAATCCCAAAACCACATAGGTTTTCTGAAGATTACAGCCAGAATCTGGAAGACAGATCCCAGAGTGTTGGTGTTGGGTGATAAAAATCTGTGAACATAACAGGCAGCTAAATTTTTCACCAGTTTCAGTTTCCAGCATGGGTGTGGATGTTACTTCATGCATGCTTGGGGTGCTCATCTCTCTCTTCCCATGTGCTGTGGTTGAGGAATACACCTCAGCTGCTAGGTGCTTGATAACTGCTGGCTGAATTCCTCTAAAAATCAAAGCTGCCAAGATATTTTTGTGCCTCCTTTGTATAGATTACCTGCATAAGGGAGGACTCTTGCAACTACCGCTCCTTTTCCCTTTCTAATCCCTTCACTTTCTAAATATTAATCCATACTTTGCTTCTTTTAAGAGGATAGAGTCATGTCTCCAGAACTGATATTAGGAAGGCTCCAGGCAGGGATAACAGCACAAATCTTTGCCATGTGTGCCTGGATAGTCAGACGAGGACTCCACCAGTTGACTCGTGGTGATCTCTGTTGCTATTCAGGATGTTTAGGTGGCTGAGACTGAACATTGTGCAGGTCTTGACTAACTGTGGTGCCTCTGCGGGTGATTTAGCCCACTGAAAATATTTTGTGTATATGGATGTATGGATGGAGGACAGTATTCATTCAGGTATTGCTCTGGCAAATTCCACCCTCCTGCAGCAGGGATTTGGGGCCCCTGCATTTGTCTGCAGAATTTTTTACCCTCTATTCCCATATCTGCCAGGTATCACCTTGTTCTGGGGAGCTGAAGGTAATGCCTAAGTTTGAGAGCAGCCTTTTTTCCTGCCCCTTCCGAAGGGAGCTTGTCCCTTTCTGCTCTCTGCATTGCTACTGCGTTTACAACTCGTTTATAAGAGCATTGCTATCTGTCTCTTTTTCAGATAAATCGGCAGAGGATTACAATTCATCAAATACATTGGTAAGAATTATATTCAGATTCTGTCTCAAGTTTGGGGATTAAAAAACTTGCATAATGTTATCTACATGTAAACTTTGATTTTGCTTAGTTTTTTAAAATCTGAATTTCATATATTTATATAGTGAATATGTGGTTATAAAAACAGGCAGATTACCCTGAAAAGACATGCTGCTCTTTTTCCCCCCACCTTGCCCCCGTCTGGGGAAGAATCAAGTAGCCAGAAGAAACTTTTGTTGGTGAATAGTGAAATAGTGGATGGAAATTAGGGAATTAAGGAATAGAAATAGTTCTGTTTTCATAGAAGTCGATCCATTCCTGTACCTAGAATTTGATAACTGCTCTGCTTTCAGGTTTTGTATGTCACTATAAACATCTGTGATCTAACAAAGTTTAATTACTAACCTACAAGCTCTGAGTGACCAAAACTGATCTAGATTAGTGTTGATTAACCAAACTAATCTCCAGCAGAAAAGAAAATAAGAGGTTCTCCTTCTCTGTGCTTGACCTTTACTCTGTCCTTACCAGGGCAGGTACCACTCCTGTTTGCTTTGTTAGGAGACATGAGCTGAAAAGCTCTCTAATGTTTCTGTATGTGTGTGTGTGAGATGTAAGAAACAAAACTTTCAATTCCAGATGATTCATAAAACTCCACAATTCTCTCATCTCATATTTTCTCACTGCCATGCCATTATCTAGAGTTGGCTTTTTCTGCTCCCTTCCAGAGGCAGCATATTCAGATCTGACTGTTGAGGACTCTCTGTGAAAAGGAGAATGTTTCTGCCATTGTTCATTATTTCATGTCATTGTACGTCAATCCCTGGGAGCTTAGAGTATCTGAGGCTGTTGTATTTTAAAGTAAATCCTGAAAAAAAGCAGTAGTTACCAGCCTACTGTGATAGCATGGTGTTTTTAGAAGACACTGGGTAACCTTTAATTTTGGGGATATTCAGGAAATTCCTAGTGCATTGGTGTTGTTTCTTGTTGCTTTTAACAGACTAAGCTTTTGTGTTATGTCAAGTGCACTTTATCCATTATATATCAGGATGCTAGTGACTTCAGGTATCTTAGATTCAGTGAAACACTATGTTGTTTTCTCCCTCTTTCAGAGAGAACTTTGTTTTAATACTTTTTCCCCTGCCACTCTTAGGGAACTGATGATGCACAAGCAGAACTGGTCTGGTAGGTTGAGGATCTCCTCAAGTTTATTTTGAAAGCATAGAATTGTTTGGGTTGGAAGGGACCTTAAAGCCCATCCAGTGCCACCCCCTGCCCCGGGCAGGGCCCCCTTCCCCCAGCCCAGGGGGCTCCCAGCCTCATCCAACCTGCCCTTGAACCCTTCCAGGGAGGGGGCAGCCACAGCTGCTCTGGGCACCCTGGGCCAGCGCCTCACCCCCCGCACAGGGAAGGATTTCTGCCTTAGATCTCACCTAAATCTGCCCTCTTTCAGCTTAAAACGTCACCCCTCATCCTACCCCTCCCCCCACCCCCTGACCCAGAGTCCCTCCCCACCTTTCCTGTCCCCCCTTTAAGCCCTGGGAGGCCGCTCGAAGGTCTCCCCAGAACCTTCTCTTCTCCAGGCTGAACCCCCCCAACTCTCTCAGCCCGGCCTCCCAGGGGAGCTGCTCCAGCCCCCCCAGCATCTTCATGGCCTCCTCTGGCCCCGCTCGAGCAGCTCCGTGTCCTTCTGCTGTTGGGGGCCCCCGAGCTGGCCCCAGCACTGCAGGGGGGTCTCCCCAGGGCGGAGCAGAGGGGGAGAATCCCCTCCCTGGCCCTGCTGCCCCCCCTGCTCTGGCTGCAGCCCAGGGCACGGATGGGTTCTGGGCTGCGAACACATGGTGCTGCCTCATGTTGAGCTGCTTAGTGTAAAGACATGGACCTGCTTGAGCAGGGCCAGAGGAGGCCACGAAGATGCTGGGGGGGCTGGAGCAGCTCCCCTGGGAGGCCGGGCTGAGAGAGTTGGGGGGGTTCAGCCTGGAGAAGAGAAGGCTCTGGGGAGACCTTCGAGCGGCCTCCCAGGGCTTAAAGGGGGGACAGGAAAGGTGGGGAGTGACTCTGGGTCAGGGGGTGGGGGTAGGATGAGGGGTGACAGTTTTAAACTGAAAGAGGGGAGATTTAGGTGAGATCTAAGGCAGAAATTGTTCCCTGTGCGGGGGGTGAGACGCTGGCCCAGGGTGCCCAGTGAAGCTGTGTCTTCCCCCTCCCTGGAAGGGTTCAAGGCCAGGTTGGATGGGGCTGGGGGAAGGGGTCCCTGCCAGCGGCAGGGGAGTGGGGCTGGGTGATCTTTAAGGTCCCTTCCAGCCTTAACCTTTCTGTGATTCTATCAAATAGGGACAGATAGGTCTAAACCCGGATGTCCCCAGAGTTGCTGAGTCTGCCGTGTGGGTATTGGGAAGGCAGCAAGGGAGCACAGGTGGGTCTCCTGTCTTTGGGAGGAGGATTGCAGTCAAACAGACAGACAAGAAGCTCTGAACAGTTATCAGGCAATGCTGGGCTGTCCCTCTGCCACACAGGCTGAGGGTCTTTGGCGTTTGAATTTCTCATACATTGTAACTTTCTCTCCAGTTCTTGCTATTTTATTGCATTTGCTTCAATGCAGTCTCTGTTAGGAGCTTAATCCCGTGATTATGATTTGTTTGTAACAAATGACTGGGTTTTTATTTTTGCTATTTGTGTAACCACATGCAGAATGTGAAGGCTGTTTCTGAGACCCCCGCAGTGCCCTCAGTGTCTGAAGATGAAGATGATGAAGATGACGCAGCTCCACCCCCTGTGATAGCTCCACGACCTGAACACACAAAATCTGTGAGCAGAAATACTTCCTTCAGCCCCTGCAGTCACAGTCAGATCTTAACTGTGGCTCCTCATCCATGCTGCGTGTCATGGTGCTGAGCCCTTCCTACAGGAGGAACAGGAGGGGGAGGAGCTGGGAGCCATTCCTTCTGGAAAAGCACCTTCATATTGTCACCTGCCTAGTTTGGGAGGGGATGGGACAAGAGAGTCCTTGCTTAGGGATGTTAGCTGTTAACAAAGTAGCTATAGAAATGCATCCCTGACAACAACAAGAACAATAACAAGGTGAATAGAAGCGTTTAAGTCGTCATCTGCTTTTTATTAATATGTATGTTTTCCTCAACAAAATCAGATATACACCCGCTCTGTGATAGAGCCCCTTCCTCCTCCTACCAGAGATGTGGCAACCTCTCCTATTTCTTCTCCCTCGGAAAACAGCACAACAGCACCTGACATGCTGGTCAGGAACACAGAGAAACAAAAGAAGAAGCCAAAAATGTCAGATGAAGAGATCTTGGAAAAATTAAGTATGTCCTTTTTTTAAAAAAAAAAATTCAATTCTAGGTCCTGCTGTGTTGATTTCTCAGAATCTTAATCTGAAATGTTTTGACATTCCCATTTTGAGATTCCTTACTGAAGACATTGCGTTGTGACTCTGTGCCAAAATTGGGGGCAGATGTAGGGAGGGAGCATAACTGTAAGTTGAGCACCTGTGATGCCAACTCAAGTCTCTGGGGAATTACAGATCCTCAGGCTCTGCAAAAAGAGCCCTGAATAAGTAACATCTACGTAACTGTGAAGACTGAGGTTGTTCCAGATCTTGATATTCTGTAGCTCTGGAGTGTGGATGATTATATTGAAAAGTTAGACATAAGATGTCTAAAAGATGGAGAGTAAATTAATACATCCCCATGTTCACCTTCCATGATACCGTGGTGTAAAGTGACTTGGTTATTTTTAAGTGCCTTAACATTGTGTGGGTACCCAAATTAGTGGTTGTTTCTGAGAAAAATTCATCATGCCTCTCTGTTGTGTCCTAGTGTCTTTAACAGTCCCTATCTTCAGTTCAAGCGCTCCTCTGCTGCCTGGTATTTTTGGGTTATACTGTAGCATATCCAACAGCTGAACCAGCTTTTCTGTGCAGTTGATTGCTATCCTCAGCCTGGGCCAGTTTTTATTAGGGTAGAGCATTTCTTAGTCTTTGAACTGCTAATCCTATATTAATGACATACATGCCTTGCTTGTCAGTTGATGTAAATTGTGTTAGCTTCCCTGTGGTCAGGCTGGTGTCCTCGATTGAGGGTATACCCCTAAAGGTCATTATTTTATGAAGCAAAGGCTAGGAGCTAGATGAAGGAAAATTTAATCTGAGGGTATAGCTTAAAAAATAAATAAATTAAAGTGACATCTGGGTACCTCATTCCTCTCAATAAAGCCTAAATTCAGTTGATGGCATGTTAACTGGAACTGCTTGCTATTGGAAAACTCGTGCCTGTTGTTTCGAAACAGCAGCTTCACTCACTTAATTAGCAGGACCTTTGTGCTATTAAGGATTCAAGCCATTTTTGTGACTAGGTAGAGCAAGGAAGGACAGTGGCAGGAAAAAGGTCCTATTCTAATACAAATACACTCACTTCTGTAATGAAGAGAAACACAAATGCCACTCTGAGGTGTATTGGGTGGCAGATACACCTTCTGACACCTTACTTGCTCCAGCAAGTGATGTTCAGTGCTGAACTGATTCTTTAGCCTTGAGGGGTTTTGTTATGAATATACATGTGTGTGAAGTTCAGTGGCCATAGCTAGGCTTCAGCTCCTAGATGTGAGCTAGTTGGAAATATGTGGAAAAGTTTAATCCTGTTGTACACTGATGTTTTTCCATGAAGGGCAGTGAAGTTGTACTTGTGCAATGACATGCAACCTTTTCATGTTTTGTTTTGGCATGTGAATAAAATGACTGAAATCTTAAAGCATATATATGTTTACACATACTGAAGATATGCAGACATTAAAAGGAAGCCAATAAATCTCCATCTCTTAGCATTAACATGGTATTGCTGCAAACATTGATGATTCTCACCTGGCGTTTTGGGAGCTAGGAAACATTACCCCGTTCTACAGATGAGAGCATTAAACAAGCAAGCTTGGCAACTGCCTGTTGTCACTGCAGCACTGTCCTGTCACTGCCTTGGGGAAACATTTACCTGTCTCGCAGTCTGAACTTGTAGTCTGTGTTAGGCTTTGAGGGAAAGTTGATGAACATTTATTCAGAAATTCTTGTCCTCAGGGCTAACAGCACTGCTTCCATTATTGTGCAGTGTGGTGTATATAGTCAGATTTCTTTTGCCCTGCCCCCCCCTCCCCCAAACATGGACCATATTCCCTTCATTTTACCTCTGTCTTCTCTAAACCCTGTGAGTTTGGCTGCTCTCCAGTGGTGTCTGAAAATAGCCTGCTCTTGCTCTGCTTGCTACTGGATTTCTTGGCCTAATGACCATAAGCAGTTTCTTTGCCAACATACATCTGCTTAGGCTCAGCCCCAGACCCCTGTGAAAGCAGCACCATATGTTTGCAGCTTCAATGACTTGAAAACACCAATTCAGATGCACCTCTGCATCCCTTGATCCTATTAGCCACCCTGGTGCTGTTAGAGAGAGGAGACTTGCTCCCAGCTGAAATCGAGGAATTTCTGGCTCTGATTCCTTCAGCCTAAAAAGGTGTGATTCCTGCCTGCCATAGGGGTATTATGAATATCAGTTAGTGTTTGCAGGGAGCATTGAGTTTCACTGATGCTCCTTTTGTCACCTTCTCCAGTTAACCCCTCGGCAGCTCACCATGCAATTTTTCAGGACTCCAGCGCATCTATGCAGCCTGCGCTTGTGCTGAGAGCTCCCTCCCCTCATACAGAAAACATTGTGTTCCTCATGGACACCAAATCTACCTTGAGCCTGAGTGGTCCCTCACTGCCCCGTGTTGCAGAACACCAGGGAAAGTGCTTTTCCCTCCAAGGGTAGCAGTAATACACTTTCTTCTGGCTGAACAGCCACATTAGGGAAACATGAGCTGAGATTGCCTTAGGTTGCTCTCCAAAACCAGAGCAATGCTGCAGTCATATGATAACTGCTGCTAAAACCTGCACTGACTGTTGGGCTCCTAGAAGAGCAGCTGAGCAATGGCCAGGCCAGGCCAGGGGAGGTTTGGCTGGGAAGGGTCTCTCCAGGTTTCATCCTGAGCCTTGCAACCCAGTCACTGGGTCAGTAATAGCTATGGTGATGTTGATATGGAAACATAAATACTTTTGTTCTGTCAGAAATCGTTGTGGTGTAGGGAAATCTTTGGCTAGATTTGCAATAGACTGTTGGCTCTAAGATGAATGAGGGCCTGACCTCCAAAATCAGAGGACATTTCAGTGCAGGGACATCTTAGATCATCCAGTATGTTATATCTGGGGGTGACTCAAGTTGCAGTTCTCTAGCAAATAATTGTACTTAGATGTGAGGGCCATGTATCCGCATCCTGTGCCTAGCAGTGGGCAGTCACTGGCTGCTAGTGACAATTAAATGTGCTTAATGTCTGCATTCCACCATTTCTGAAGGGGAATACCTATCAGAGGGGAATGCTGCAGCTGGTATGCCTGGAAGTAACTGAGGACTTCCGTGGTGTTTGTGTGTCTCTGGATTTCTGACAAGTGGTTTGTGAGGCTCAACAGAGCCTGCTATGGCCATGGGGCTGCTCTTAAATTACACTTGGTTCTTAGAGCTATACAAAAAAGTAAAATCCTCTTGGGTTGTTTTTTTTTTTTTTTTTTTTTTTTTTTTGTAGGAAGTATTGTGAGTGTGGGTGATCCAAAAAAGAAGTACACATGTTTCGAGAAGATTGGACAAGGGTTAGTATACACTCCTTCTCTGTCTTATACCTTTCTTTATGCTATGAAGAAAGCACTGAAACCAGGCTAAGCTAGTTTGCTGGGAAAGTTGTTGGTAATGCTTTGGAGAATTTATTTTGGTTGGTTGTTTTTTTGTTTTCTTTTGTATTTTTTGGGAGTTTTTGGTTGTTTTGGTGGGTTCCTCCCCCCCAGCTCTTCTCCCTTTCCTGACAAAGGCTTGAGTCACAGGGACTGGGTTTTTTGTGAGATTGTCTTTTAATATAAGAAAATATGTCATTAGATGATCAGATTGCTAAACATAGCTGCAAGCAGGGAAGGAACTGCTAATTTTCAGCATTCAAGACAATCTTCAATTACAGATTTGCTTTCTGAATCAACTCTTCCTGATGTGGGTGTTGTGCTTCTCCGTGTAGGGGCAAAGTAGGGTTTGTGGGAGAGGCTGTAGTGAGGCAAATCAGTGCAAATCACTGAGAGATCTGCTGTCAGCTCCATGTGCTGAGGCTCAAAGTCACATTTCCCTCACTACAAACGCCACATTTGTTTACTTCAGCCGATCCTATCTGCTCTGTAATCATTTTGGGCAGTCTGCAGGCCAGGGCAGTGCAGTCATACCAGTTTAAATGGGATCAACTCACAGTCCTACAAGCTGTGCTGAGTTGCTGGTTTAGCAGCGAGGGTTTGGATGACTGTAGTGTCCCTTATTAGAAGCTTTCTTCCCCATAAATTCCCTGGATTCTGCTCCAACGGCAGTCTTGGCTCAGAAATATTTCAGATGCTATTTACCACTGGACTTACTGCATGAAAAGGAATGGGACTGAGAGCACTTTGAAGAGCTAAGTGGAAAGGGGCATGTGTTAAGCTCCCAGTTGTGCTATGAGGCACTAATAACAGGGTTTTTTCTTTTCTCTCTTTTGTTTAGAGCCTCAGGTACAGTTTACACGGCAATGGATGTAGCTACAGGACAGGAGGTAAGTGCTACCAGAATACCACAGCAGTGGATATTGGATTGTGTCCTAAAAGTTCACATTGATGCTACAAAATAAAGACAGTCTTTCAGGGCTTCATGACATCTTATTTTTAACGAAGTATTTATTTCCTTACAAACGAGGCACAGTCAAGTGGTCTGAGCAGAGAACCGGAAAAATTGTTTCCCAAGTTTTGATTCCTGAATCATTTCATATTTGTAAAGATTTTTTTCTGTGACCACAAAGGCTAGAAGCAAATGTTTGGACTGATTAGTTCCTCAGTAGAAGTTTATCTCTTCATCCCCAAGATTTCTGCCTGGCCCCATTTAAACTCCTTCATATGTCCTCTGCTCCCTTGATTCCTACACATACTAGTTGACTTGTATAGAAATAGTTTTTCTCCCACCCTTTGCCCGCTTGCTTTCTGCCCTTGAATTGAGAGACAAGAAATGTCTATCTGTCTTTTTTTCCCCCTCCTGAATATTGAAAAGTGCCCTGCATATTGCATGCATGCATAATAAACTAGCAGTGACGGATATACAGCATCTGTGGAAACCATTATTGCTAGATAGAGGATTTTTAAAGAGGAAAGTATATGAATTATTCCAAATATATTGATGGAAGTCTGCAGCAATGTGTGTCTGCTTTGCATTTGTACAATGTCAGGGTCATCCACCAGTAAATTTCATAACTGTGCTTTTTACTGAAACTCCTTCACCCCCTTTTCCTGAATCACAGAATGGTTTGGGTTGGAAGGCACCTTAAAGATCATCCAGTTCCACCTTCCCCCCAGCCCAGGGTGCTCCCAGCCCTGTCCAACCTGGCCTTGAACCCTTCCAGGGAGGGGGCAGCCACAGCTTCTCTGGGCACCCTGGGCCAGCGCCTCACCCCCCGCACAGGGAAGATATTCCTCCTATATGGACTGGCTGCAGGAACTTGTAGAGTTACTAAATGACTGAGCAACCTGTGATGAAAAAGTGTTTTCTTGCTTCATGTGAAGGTGGGACTAAAATAATTGACGCTGTTACTGGCAGGCTTCTAGGGGACTCCAGTAATAATGCTTTACTTGGTCTTTCTTCATTGCAGGTTGCAATCAAACAGATGAATTTGCAGCAGCAACCCAAAAAAGAACTGATTATTAATGAAATCCTTGTGATGAGGGAAAACAAAAACCCCAACATTGTCAACTACTTGGACAGGTATGCCATGATTTGAAGAGTTCACAAAGGGACTTTGGAAAACCCTTGTCATTGTCTTAAGTGATCCTGTTGCAGTTTAATGAAGGTGGAGGACAACCTTGCATTGTTTAATGCATGTGGCAGTGTTGGGGTGTGGGCAGCTTGGTGGTTGGTCTCCATATCCTAGGAGAAGCAAATGTCTGAATCGGTATTAGTTGGGGTATCTAGGTTCTCTTCAGAGACGCTGGCAGCACAGGTGTTAGCAGCATGCTGTCAGGACTCTTTTTCAGCTCTCTCCTTTGCCACAACAAGCCATTTCCTTCCTGCTACTGGAGAAGAAATAGAAGTAGTTTGAACTGTGCTATTTGTATTTGCTTTGCTCTTCCTCTTCTTTCCTCTTTCACTGTGCAATGCTGACATTCTGCTTGCAGAAGAGCAAACTCCTGCCAGGGTTAGATGGTAATCTTGTCCCTGTGGCTACCCACTGAGGTTTTCTGCACAGTAGCATAGCAGTGACAAGGGTGAATGACAAGTGACACATAACTGAGCAAGGATGCTTTTTTTACAGGTGTAAAAAAGGGAGAAAATGAGACCTGGTACAGATTTAAGAACTCTTTGGAAGACAGAGGGAACAGGTCTATTCCTTGCTCAGAGCTAGGCTTTGTGAGCTCATACACATGCTGTGGCTCACACTTCTGCTCAGCTTCGGGTATGTTGCATCCCTGTGGGGCAGCTTCTCCTGAAATCCCTGTGTCTACTTATTCAAGAGCTGCACCTAATAGCTTATGTATGTACAGACCTGCTCTGCTTGTTCTTGAGCTCATGTCCCTTGGACTACAACAGTAACAGAGCAGAAACAAGCAGCACAGTGGCTGCTGCGCTGAGTGTAAACTGTTTTTAAAATAAACGTGTAATACTTGCATCTCCCCTGTTTGAATTCCAGGCAATAGTCACAAACTGTCAGCACTGAAATCCGGAGCATACAGAAAGCCCAACAGAGAAAAGTGTGGTGGCTTGAATTCACCATCAAAATAATATTGGTGCCTAGTGTCAAGCCTGTCATTCACCTTATGTTAAAGATATGGCTAGTTCCAGACAACCTGCAGTAGAATTTTCAGTCTGCTACACTCAACGTCGGAATCTAGTGGCCCTGATGAGCTACAGGTTTGGCTTAGTGTTGGGTAAAGAGTGCCTAGATAGGGTGAGCTGCAGGCTTCAGTCTTGGCAGATCACTTTTTCTGAAGGTACAGTGGAGGGATGTGACCTAGAATCTCTTTTGGAAATCTGAGAGAGTATCTACACACTTGTTTGCTCTGCATGCATATCAAAATCTTATCAGCTGTTTCTTTAACAGGCTTAGCCAAATGTCTTAGCCAAAAAAAGTACTTCTTGTATACTGCAGCATCATTTGTGATGCTGAATTTATAGGGTGCTGTGTCCTATGCATGGCTGTAAAGAGATACTTTATTGAAGGGACAGAAAGTCTGCTCCTGAAATTTTGTGGAAGGCATGTGGGCACAGGGAAGTGATGCTGGGCAGATGCCCTCTTCTTACAAAGAGCAGAAGGATATTACCTGTGTAAAATGAAACAAGTGGTAAAGAAGAGTTAAGAATTGCATCTGGGCTTAAACTTTTTATTTCTCCTGGCTGATTAGAGGCTTTTTTTTGGCAAAACTGTTTGAGACACACTCTTCCCATTAGAGAGAGCATAGCTGAGTACATGCACTTGCCTTGTCTAGCCAGTACATCCCAGCTGTAGGGTAGCTGCATGTCCTGCTGTCTTGTTCAAGCTTCCTGCAACAAAAGCTGCTGCTTTTGTCGTCCACTTTCTCTCACTAATCTTTTTCAGAGGGATTAGCTTTTGTTTGAGTGCTGCAAATGGACAGAGCGGCAACTAGGATGAACATGGGGGTTTCTTGTGCCTATTATGCCACTTCAGCTTTGCAACTGCAGGATCCTGTTGCTGGGGAGCTGGGTCCTTCCAGCCTGGCATAATGTGCCTGTTTGCTTCCTGAGTGCTGAATTAAGCTGATATTTGAACGCCGCTTGCTGGCTTCTGCCCACTGCTGTCTCAGAAGGAAGTACAAAGAAGGATGCGCTTGCCACCGTGGTACCTGGTTTCTTTTTTGTGACTCTGTTTTTGACAGTGTCTCCCCTTCTGAGTCCCTAATGGGAGCTGCAAAACAGTGATTAGTATAAACCAGCCCTATTGCTTCTATCCTCTCTTGCCTGCACGGCGTACTTGCTCGTGGTTAAGACAGCTTTTCTGCTGCAGTGTAAGTGGCCAGTGTTGCACGGAGGTGTGCTGTGACATTTAAAATAATGACATGGCCTAATTCAGCTGTACTTAACAACTAAATATAGAAGCATCTGGTTCTGAAGACAGTGACACTAGTTTTCCTGTGCAGACAAGCAGCCGCTTGTGGTGAGTTACCTTCTGGAGGTACCAGTTTCTTTCTGCTGCGTGAAAGAGGTGCTCAGAGCCCTGCTTCTAAACTCAGACATCTAAATACAGGCAACAGATGCCCAGTATTAGACAAAGCAAACTCCTGCCCTTTGGTTTCTTTCTTTCTGAAAACTCTTCTTGATCTAATAAACTCCACAAATCCTCACTTTTAAGTGGTAGCCACTGTTACCCTCAACCCAACCCCAAAATGAGCTAGGGCTGGAAGGGCAATGAATAAAGCTGAAGCTGTATAACAGTCATGCTACAAGAAAACACTGATTTCTTTTCAGGCTAACTTCATGTTTTCATGTTGGAGTCATGTTACCAGTGCAGAAATCTGTAATGAATGATCTTGCTCTACTGGGCAAAACCAAATTTTGCAAAGTTTATCGATAAAAAGGGACAATGACTGACTGGTGTGTGTTTGTGATAGGAAGGGCTTGGTGAGCACCTTCCTAAGGTATCTAAGTGGAAGCTGAGGAACACTTTATAGGAACAGACATTACCTGCTCTTGCAGATGGATGAAGAGAAAGCTGTAGACCACCTCCTCCTTCCTCAGAGACTTACATCAGCTTGTTTTCACTGCCAGCTTTGTTTTGGAAGGTGACTGTGGGTGATGAGGTGTGACACCATGCTGTGCCTGATGTCGTATGGAGAGCAGCATGTAGGTGTATGGACAATCCTGGTGGTGTCTCTGGAACTGCTGAGAGAGTGGTTTTGAGTCACACCTACAACAGGCACCTCAGTGACTAAAACTGGCCTCTTCTGTGCCAAGAGAGTGAAAAGATCCCCAAGATGGCACCGCCCAGTCTTCCGAAATAACATTCGCTCAGCTGGCAAGGAGCCACTGTTAATTCCACCTCCCCCTCCCCGCATGTTATGTCAGATCTATCAATTATCGAGGTGCCTGGGTCTTGGCACAGCTTTTATTCACAGTGTGGTTCTTGGCTTGCTCCATCCCTTTTGGCTGCAGAGAGATACCAGTTTACTCCCAGCACGTGCAACCTGAGATTGTCACACAGTAAGCAGTGGAGCCCATTCTGGCCCCATCTTTACAGTCAAGTGGATTTGGGCTTCAGAGGGTGCCATTGGCAATGAAGGGAAGCGTTGTGATGTCCAGAGTGACACTGATTTGTTGAGAGGGTGCTGATAAAATCTGGAGGGAGCCAGATCTCACAGAAGTGATGAAGTAGCAACACCGTAGGGGCAGGAAGGAACGGTGTGGACGGAGTGGCTTTCAGAGCCAGTTAGAAGGTAGGTGACCCACAGGGTTGGCAGGAGTGCTTTTGAAAGCAGTTCTGCTGATCCTCTCTTTCTTTGAGGGGCTGCTGTGCAGGTGATACTGCTTTTGCTGGAGTCTGTGCTTCTGGTAAAAAAACATACCAGTGCATCAGCTTCTGCTCTGTAGGGGAGCTGGAGACCTGTCTGCACCAGGAGCATAGTCCTGTGCTCTTGGGCTCTGTATCCTGTAGGAAAGTCCAGACTCTGCCTCCCTGCATAGTCTTCAGCATCACCAAACCAAGATACCATCTTTGTCTCCAATATTAAAAGCTCTCCATAAGTGCAATACTTCTGTCACACAGCTCGGACTACAGTTCTTATTTTGAGGGAGTTTTTTCATCAGCTCAGGTGTTGGCAGTGTGTCCATTTGGGGTCAAACCATACCTTCTGCCTGCTCCTGTGATGTCTCACTCATCTCTGTCTACTTTCCATGCCAAGTTGGCCATAATAACTTATTTCTCCTTCACTGTTGCTTTCTAGCTAATTGTTCCCTAGAACCTGTCCTGCTCTTTGCTTTTGACCCCTAGCAAATTCACTCTTCAGTAGGATCTTTCAGAGTGAAGCAAACATCTGCTTGATGAACTCTAATGCTGGCAGAAGCTTTTAATTAGGTTCTCTTCCCTCTCTCTTGACTCATCTGTCCACTCACTTTAAAAATGGGAGGATAGGCTGAGAAGGTGGGTTTTCAATTTTTTTAGCTGATGATTCTTTCCTTTAGGAATGTGTCATCCTAATGTATCTGTCATGGAAGACTGTGATGATGTTTTCCCAGATGGGCCCAAACAGGCGGAAGTGGTTGGTGGTTTGGGTTTGTTTGATTTTTTTAAAATGAGTTAATGCTGAAGTCTTCATCCCAGTTCTTCTGCTTTTAGACATGAGCACGCACACTCCCAGCAGAAAAAAGTATCCCAAATGGCTGAGAAAACTCACCCTCACCTCAGCTGTCTCCTCCCCGTCTTCCTGCAGACCTTTTTGGACAAGAGCTTTTGGGCTTTCCTTTTTTATTTAAAGTCTTTAGAATTGCTATTGCATCCAGCAAGATATTCTCATTTGCCCTTATGAACGGTTCTGAATTTTTCAGACAAAATCCCAAACTAGTTTGGTAGCATAAAAAAGATTGAGATGATTTTCAAATGCATGATACTTAAAAAAAAGTGTTCTTTCTCGGTTGTTCCTGAGCAGCCATCGATTGTGTCACCCAGGATTGTCCCTGGGCTAAGGACAGCAGGATGCCAGTAGTAACAAAGCAGCCCCCAGCCACTTCTGATGTCAGAGCCCTCAAAAGCCATGCTGTGTGCCAAATGTCTGGGATGCACACGTGGATGGACCCCATCCTTGAATGGAAGCTCTTCCCCTTCTCTCCCAGCAGCAGCAGGATTTGTAAGGTTGGGTCTCTGTCTTAATCTGGGCCCTCTCCGTGGCAGAAAAATTCAGCCTTGCTTTTATGGCCAGGAAACTTGTAGCCTGCTCTCCCATTACCTCTCTCCTCAACTTTCTGCACTGACCCTTCTCTCCGCTCGTTCAGGTTGTGATCAGATCCTCCTGTGTACTGAAAGTACCATGAGTACCTGGTGCCCCAGTACTGTTAAATATGTTGCTCAAGCCTCATGGCTTCTGCACTTCTAAGACAGTTTTAAAACCCAGTGCATCCTGGCTAGGTAAACAGTAGCATGCTCATACTTGCTGGCTCTAAAATTTATTTTTGACTCTTCAGTTACCTTGTAGGAGAAGAGCTCTGGGTGGTCATGGAGTACTTGGCAGGAGGCTCCCTAACAGATGTTGTGACAGAGACCTGCATGGACGAAGGACAAATTGCCGCCGTGTGCCGAGAGGTAGAGCAGCACTCGGGCTCGGAGGGAGCTCTGACTGGGAAGGGGACAGGGGCTTTCCATGACCTCTGGCTTCACAGGAGTAGCTTTCTCCACCTTCTGTAGTGCAACAATCATTCTTTCAGAGGTTGGATTTCATCTGGGAGGTTGCAGCATGCAAGCCTAATATGTTTCACCCTAGAGGGAGGACTGGAGTGCGATATGAGGTTGGAATCCCATTGGCTATGTCTGTTATCCAGGTCTTTTGGGACTAACTTGTCCTCCTAGGACCTGCTGATCCCAGTGGGATACCTCTCTGTAGCCCTGCACATATGGAATATATGAAAAACTCTTAAGACACTAAGCCCTTGCTACTCAAAATGCATGTTGTTAGAATCCATTAGTTGACTAATTGTGACTGGTAAATAATTTCATGCACAGTAAGAATATCTCGGTTATTTTTTTTTTTTTTTTTCCCAGTGTCTCCAGGCTCTGGAGTTCCTCCATTCAAACCAAGTTATTCACAGAGACATCAAGAGTGACAACATCCTGCTGGGAATGGATGGCTCTGTGAAACTAAGTATGTGGGGATCATTGCTGGTGATAACTTGAGTTATCAACCCAGAGCTGTTATATGCACTGGGCCAGGCCTGTTAGGGAGATGAGTGTTTGAGATGCTTGGTGCTGTGGCAATGATGAGGCTGTAGAAATGCTCCTGTAGGTATTTCTGTGACATTGGTTTTAATGGAGATTGGCAAGCACGAATCTTTTGTGAACTCATACAAGACTCAGTGGGGTTTGAGGTTTATTTAGCTTCGTTTTATCTGTTTTTGTGGACTAAAATAATAGTATTTTGTTGCTACCCCAGTATTAGAAAGCTGTGTTTGAAGATACAGGGCCAGAATTCTATACTTGTGAGTGATCTCTTCAGTCTGGAAAATACTGCAGGTACTTGGAGAGCAGGGAGACTGGAGGGAGAACTGAAACCTGTATAACTAGAAAACATTTAATCTTACAACATCAGCCCAGACTGGACTCTAAATGTTGTTTCCTCCTTGTGTTATTGCCAGTAATGGAGACCTTGAGACTGTTCTGCCCCTCGAGTGCTACGATAGCTGTTGTGTTTGTCATTGTCCACGCAGAGATAAGCCTGGAAACTAGTGAATGATTATTTTCCACCTATAGCTTTAACAGAATTGTGCTTCCTTTCTCTCCCTCTCAGTTCTGTTGGCTAGCACCCAAAAGGCATAAATAAATCTATTTTTGTCAGCAGTGACAGCAGATATGACTCAAAATTCACACAGTGCAGATATGCTGAGTAAGAAGGTGGGGTTTTTTTGCACATAATTGCTTTTTAGACTAAAGCTGTACTTCGGTACAGTCAGATCTCTGGAGTGTTAGCAATGAATAGCTGATCAGGGCCAAAGTGCTCTGTTCTTATGGGATAACTTCTTTGAGCACAGTATGCAGGTACCAGGCTGTAGTTTAAAGTTAGAAAAGTCCCTGTGGATATGATGCAGTAACCTTCTGGACTTGCGCTGCTAATTTGCTCTGCTGGCAAATTGCTCTATGTATGAACCATATGTACCTTTCCTGGTTGTTACCCTTGATGAAAACTCAGCTAGGGATCAGTTTAATTTTCATCATTCTGCCTAAAATTAGACCTGCAGTGCCATAGGAGGTCAGGATGGGCAGTGCGTCTTGCTGTGTTGATTCTGCTGGGCTCACAAGAACAGAATTAGTCTTCTTAGGAAGTCAAATACAAATAAGACATAGGACCCATTAATCTTTGTGTGAAGGCTCTCCACCTTTCTGTCTATTTGAAGAAAATAATCAGTATAAATGTAGGTACTTTAAATTTATTCTGAACACTGTCTACTCTGTAAAGCAAATCCTGTTTGAGAGATGATATATCTACTGGGGAAGTAATGTCTCTGGCACTGAAAATATTACCAGACAATACAGTAAGGGGTTGGGGGTTGTAGCTAGATCAGACTGTGCATTAATTTATATTTTCACATACCCAGGAGCAATCTTTAGACCACATATTACACAGTGTATTACAGCTGCATAATGTTGCAAACACAGTCAAGTGTCTCAACAACCATATACGGTTATTTACCGTTCCCTATCATTAAAAGAGACAAGTCAGCAGCTCTCTAATCCTCATGGCCTCAGTGAGTTAGATTTAGAAACTTACCTCTCAACACCATCTTCTCTATTAGCCACAAACCCACCCTTCTTTCACAGTTGCAGCAGCAACACACCAGATAGTGCAGCAGGGTAACGTGTGCTGGAGCTCTGGCATCAGTAAGCCTTGCTTTTGGAGAAACTTGCTGATTTTTATGCCTGTTTCTTTCCCCTCCCCATCTTCAATTTTCCAGCTGACTTCGGCTTCTGCGCCCAGATCACTCCTGAGCAGAGCAAGCGCAGCACCATGGTGGGGACTCCATACTGGATGGCACCCGAAGTGGTGACGCGGAAAGCGTATGGGCCCAAAGTGGATATCTGGTCGCTGGGGATAATGGCCATCGAGATGATCGAAGGAGAGCCCCCCTACCTCAATGAGAACCCCCTGAGAGTAAGCGAATATCTTTTGCCCTCAGGTCTTTGCTCAGCCTCCTGGTGAAACTAGGCTCTAAAGGAGGCAGGTGAATCCTTCAGTGTGGTTTCACCACCTGCAGCCCCATATCTCCTTAGATGTCTTAGTGAGAAGATTGAGATAGTTTTAGTTAAAAGCCACACTTGGCTCTGGGTAGCAGAGGTGGGGGTTATTCCTGTTGCAGACTCTCTGGTCAGCTCTGATGAGTTAGATCGCACACACTCATAATTTCCCACTTTCTGGAGATGCTGATAGAGGCAGAAAGTGTACCTGATAGCACCAAAGCAGCTGACTTTTTGAATCCTTTTGTACTGTGAGTGGGGAAGGTTTCTCCTTAAATTCAAAAATACGACATGTTACTATTCTATAAACAGAGCTTTTTCCTGCTAGTGGATTGTTCCTTCGTGCATGCTCCAAATAAAGCTACAAGTTTAATAAACCTTTAGACAGGGCTTAAGCTTCCTGATGTCTTTCCCTTGTTTATTTTTTAATGAAAGGGGAGGTGCTGTCAGTTCGTAAGGACGTAACTGCTCTTAATGTAAGCCCTGTTTATGGCTTTTCCCTCAGCTACACAGGATGAGGGGATCTAGAAAAATTCTGCTTAACTTTTGTCTCCATCTCTTGTGCTGGAAGTGATTTTTTTGGGAGAGAAGAGCAGTAACAAGGGTGAAAGCAACTGGCGATGGAGTTAAATGAGGGTGGATAAGTATCAGTATTTTGGCCTAATTTAACTCAATTTGTGCCAATTGCCAGGCTATCAGACTGCTCCTGTGGGATGTGCTGAGTGATGTGCTCAAAGGGCCTGCATATTAACAAGTCTCTGACAGATTTCCATTTCCTTTGAAAATCCATCCGGGAAGTTTCTTGCATGAGATGCTGAAATGGATGAATTCCGAGTTCCTTGATCCCCAGAAGAGGGTGTGTGTGAACGCTTCATCCCCAAGCAGTAGCAAAACTGCTTGTTCCTGCAGGTTGTTAAAAGCTGCTTGAGGGTCTATTGGACATCCTTTTGTAAGGAGACAACCTCATCTTTCTTGTATTGACTCTTAAGGCCTTGTGCATTCAGGCAAAGTACCGACAGAACAAAATCTATTTATTCAGGGGTACCTTCCCATGAGGATATAATTATTGCAGGAATCTAGTACTACTAGAGTCATGCCAGTTAACTTCCCTATGTAAACATGGTCTGGAATGTTGTTTTTGTCCTCCTAATCCCTTGAGAGGGCTGCAGGATCCAAACCCAGATTACGAGGGTAAAACAATAAAGGATTGGATCCCATCCACATAAAAATAGGGCTGGCAGCTATTCTGTTTGCTGAAATTTAAGCATTGATTAGTCACCCTGATAAGGTGGGGTTTTTTCCTCCCTATTGAACTGGGGGGAGGGAGAGGAGAAATGGGTGTCTCTGTAATCCAGAGATGGAATCTAACCTTCATAACCTCCGGTTTCTTTGGTGCTTGTTTTCACTCTAGGCCCTATATCTCATTGCTACTAACGGGACGCCAGAACTGCAGAATCCAGAAAAGCTTTCACCCATATTCCGAGACTTCTTAAATCGCTGTCTTGAAATGGATGTGGAAAAGAGAGGTTCTGCAAAAGAGCTACTACAGGTAGGTGATGGGGAACAGGGCTGAATCATGCAACCCTGAGTGGGGCCAGGCTTATGGCAAGATCTTGTTTGAGGTCTTAAATACTCCATCAGCTGAAGGCAAAAGCACTGCTAAGGTAACCTGACAAAAAAAAACAAAAAAAAACAAAAAAACAAACAAACAAAACAAAAACCCAAAAACCAATCCCAAAACCTAAATCTGTAATGAAGTGTTAACAGCCTACTCCCTTTTTAAGCTGTACTTGCTACTGGTAGCAGCTGTGCAGCATGTTCTGTAAATAACCTCAATTAATAGCTGTGCCCCAGGCCTGCCAAGTGTTGATCTCCTTAATTCCCATAACTTCTTCACACAGCTGGCCATGACATCTGTATGTGTTGTCATGGGCCATGCTTGTTCCGATTTGGACAGCAGGAAGGCTTCTAGTTATTGGATGTTCTGGTTGTCTCCCTTCTGCTGGAGGGATCACAAAGCTCCAGCATTAACTGAAGCAGTTTGGCATTACCACATTTTGCCAGATACTGCTCCTTACAGAGGTGACGGAACAAAGCTTGTAAAATATCTTAATCAGAGAATGGTTTGGGTTGGAAGGGACCTTTAAAGATCTTCTAGTCTAACACCCTGCCACGGGCAGGGACACCTTCCACTAGACCAGGTTGCTCAAGCCCCATCCAACCTAACCTTGAACACTTCCAGGGATGGGGCAACCACAGCTTCTCTGGGCACCCTGTGCCAGTGCTTCATCACTCTGTCATCAGTTATTTCACTGAAAACCTGGTGTCTTTAGTCTGAACTCCTGGTGAAAGAGGAGGGCCAAGCTGCCAGGCTTTTACTGACATGGATGGGAGGACTGGTTCATGTGTTCCTTCTGTCAAATTTGCCATAGGGGTTGAAAATACAGCTATTTGTAAAATAAATCTGTGACTAGGGACACTCAGACAGTTCCCATTTTTGTTTTCCTTTTTTTCCACTGTTTTGTCTGGTGGATTCACTTTTGGATCTGTTGCTGCCTTCTGAGACAGTAATGAAGCATTAATCACTTGCAGAATGGCAGTAGCTGAAAGATTACTTTTTCTCCTGGACTTTTCAGCCCCAGAATATCAGAGAGCAGTAACGTTCTGTTCCTTGGAGCAGGAGATCATTCTGACTGTAACATTTCTGCCTGTTTTTAACTACCTTTTAACCTCTGATTTTTTATTTTTTTTTCCCCCCTGTCTCTGAAGCATGTTGCCTTCGGTGATTGATCCCTTCTGATGCTTAGAAGTCCTGTGGGATATAGTTGCTTTTTGTTTTCAGAACACCTTGTGGCCTTGCCCTACATGCCCTTACTCTAATCTGAGAGCTGTTTTGATGATCAGTATTGTTTTACTTAACAGAGCACCTTGTATAAGGTACTGACTCAGTGGTTCTGTGTTGCAAGCTCTGTGCTGCTCTCCTAAATTCCAGTTGCTTTGCAAATTTCTAATACCCACAGAAGGCCAAGTCAGTGCTTTCACCAGACCTGTGATAACAGGGAAGTGAGAAATGAGAGATGATTCCTGCAGGAAGGCCCGTGCCTTGTGTTTGAACCACACAGGTGGTTTTTAGTCCACCTTCCTTCCACACAGAATTTCACTATAGATTTTGCATGACTTTATAATTCCCCAGAAGAATTCACTGAGTTTTGCTTGGTCTTGAACATGTACAAACATTGGAGAATTTAGCATGTGTTGGGTGCAAATCCGTTCATCACTTCAGGCAAGCCCCAGAAGCCTGTGGTGGTAACAGACCTTTTGGTTTCACCTGTTCAGAGATTAGAGGAGTTTAGGCTTCCTATGGGTGTAGGTATCCATATTTTGAATAGCCACCAGCCTTCTGGGGCACATTGTGAAAAATTAAACTCTTTTTCTTTTTTCTTCTTCCTAGCACCAGTTCCTGAAAATTGCAAAGCCTCTGTCTAGTCTCACTCCTCTGATTATTGCAGCTAAAGAGGCAGCCAAGAACAACCATTAAAGTGGTGGAGCCAACGCAGTCATCGTGTCAAGACTTCTAGGTGTTCATTTCAGAGACTGAATTACCTGCCCCCCTCCCCTTCTGCTCCTTCTTCACAGGGATGTTCTTAAAACTTTGATCTGCCCTGAAGGGTGGCAGAGGTATTGTTCACTGAACGTAGAAGGGCACGCAACAGGGACGTTGTTGATCTTACATAGTGAACTGTTTTCCCATCCTCCTGATGGGGGTGAGAAGGGAAGAGTATTTTCTATGATTGAGAAGATCTTTCTGAGAATGTCTGAACCTAACCTACACGTAGCAAAGCCAGTTTGTTTTCGTATTTCTTACTGTGTTTATTTTTAAAAATTATGTGGAGCCTTAGACCATGTTTATCTTAATAAATTAAGTATTTCGCTGGCTGGACTTTTCCTGCTTCTGGCAAGCTGCTGTTACACCGCTGAGGCTGCTTTGTGCTTTGAATGACTTGAGGAGGGAAGGAAGCAGGCAGCAGAAATGGGAACAGCTGTAACAGGCGAAAGGGGAATGAGGGCATGAATGTTCATCCCTCCTACAGCACTGCTGGATGCTTTGAGGGAGCATGGAGAAACCCTCTGTGTGCTTCCTGCAGCCATTGGAGAACTTAATTCATGGATGATCTTTTTGCCAAATCATGTGAATTGGGGCCCCCCCTCCCCCTTTAGTTTCAACTCAAACTAGACAAATCTCAGGCGTTTCTGATGTTCTTAAAGGTAATTCACAGGAAAAATTGTCAGAGAGCTGTTTTAGGGTTATTATATCAGTGCTGTGAGGCTTCTTAGAGACCCTGTATGATAAAGCAAACAGAGCAATTACTATTACAAAGATAAGATTTGCCTGCAAAAATTATGTTGAAAACTCTTGTTTCTTAGAGCAAATCCAATGGAAAACAAACTGATCATGGATGCTGCTTTTTTGGAGATGTGGGGGACGTTAATTTTTTTAAATGATAGTGGTTTCTTTATGCTACTGATTCCTTTGGTTGCGAATAGTCTGTAAAACAACAGGAAACCTGGAACTACTAGAGGGATTAGTTGTAAACACTGGGCTTCTGTTCAACTGTATACTGATTTTTAATAAAATGGCAGCTGCATTTCTTAACTCGGGGCTGAGAGAGGACTGGAGAATTCACTGTCACCAGACAAGTCTGTCGGATGGGAATATTGTTCATACCATCTCTGGGTGCTTGAATGTGTTGGATGAAGTAATATTACCTTGTCTCTTACCCCTTCTTCTGTAGTCCTTTGGGATAGCTAGTGGCTCTCAAGGGAGTAACTTTACACAGAGAAAAAAAATCCATGAAAATCCCTATTTTAACTGGGGAGCTTCTTTCTCTATACTGCTTTGGTCACTTATGGAGGTGAGTTTAAAACCATTCTGGAATAACCTCTTATCTCTTTCCAAAGCACCTGTGTTGCACAGAAATTCATTCCTGCTTCTTGCTGAGTCCTGCTGCTGGCTCAGCCCTTTTTTCCCTGCACCTGGGTTTTAATTCAAGTGCGGTTTTCATATTCGCTCCACAATATGTGGCAGGTCTTACACTAGTTTTACTGGGTGTAGATTGAGTTTGCGAGGGCTCTTGCTTCTGTGGTGCCTTCTCTCACTCTTTGTGCTCCAGGGTGGCCACTGATTGACACAAGGTTGAAGTCCATAGTCCACTGCTAAAAGCTGCAGCCTCTCCCTTTGTGTATATATGTTTCATTTCCCTGTAATATTAAAGAGTTTGTTCTCACAAAGCTTGTGTCCAAGGACGAATTCCTTGGGCAAAACAGTAAAGCTACCAGCCTGGAGAGGGATATGAGCTATTGATGAGCTCCTCTGCTTGGAGCTTAGGTGGAAATTGCAAAATGGAACGCCACTACCCTTGAATAATTCCCTTTGCTAAGGACTTAGTTTGTATTTCCTCTGGAAGACTCAAGATGGCATACGTGGGAAGAAAGGATTTAGGTTCTAGATCTCACTTGATCTAAAATCTCATGTAGCTCTGGTCTTAGAGATTTGGCAAATTACTTTTTTTGACAGCACAGAGTTAAACCCAATCCACAAATGTGTTTAATGTCTCTGACATCTCTTTAACTCCCTTCCCTGCTCTATCCTCTGCATCCCATTGAGACGAGAACCTTGATGTAGATATGCCCTATCTGTGAGTGTGCATGTGATCCTACTTTTCTGCAGCAAGATTTCTGCTAAATTTCCCCAAAGAAGATAGAAAATGTTATTTGTGTGTTTAAATTGCTCTTCTGGATTCTCTGCTGCATAATGGAAAGGAATTGACACAAATGACCGTTTATCCTTCCTCTTATGCTAGTGATGTGCTTCTGTCTCATCAACTTCCACTTTGAATTGGTCCTGAGTGGTTTCTGTTAGCTGCTGGAGAGGGGGTTTGCCAAAAGCCTTTTGTTTTCCACTGGGAAGCTGCAAGACGGTAGCCATGGATGTGTGTCATCTTCTCCCAGGCTTTTTTTTCCTTACCTGTGATGGGTGGGAAAAGGAGGCAACTGCTATGGCATACCTGGGCCTAGTTTGAAGATACCAGGCATGGCATGTTTTTATGTTCTCAGAAAATCTTAAAAATTTTTGTAACTACCTTAAGTTTAGGAGAATGGGATTATTTCTGTTGTCGCTGTTTTTCTGAAATACATCCTTTCCTCCACTGTCCCTTCATCTGTGCATCGCCAGCTGTCAGCACCTGTGTTAGCTTTCACATGGCCCTTTATGGCACCTGCCTGTCTAAAGAGGGCTCTTAAATAGCAACTCTCTGACTTAAAAATTAACCTCTGGGGCTTATTTTTCTGAGAACTTCTTGTCTCTACTGTGATTTGAAAGCAACTCCAACTAGAGAACTTATTTGCTGTCTGCCTTTTTTTTTTTTTTTCTTTTTTACATACTCTATGAACTGATTTGCCTGAGTTGAAACCATTTTTAATCACAGCCCTTAATTATTTATTTGCCTATTAATATTAAAGTCTCTCTTCTCTATGAGAACATAAAATATTAAATTGTTTGAGTATCCTTTCAGAAAATTGACTTCCTTTTTGAAGGCTCTCGAGTAATCCTAGACCAGAAGCAATATAACATACTACAGCTTGCAAAGGGCTTGGTGAACGGAGAGGCTAAAACTCATAATCTTTTCCAAAACACAGAAGATTGACTTACTTAAGAAGCCAGTAGTAGCTTTGGCAAGACACTTCCTATATTTCAAGAATGGGCATGGATTTGTACTGCTTTAGGGTTTTTTTAAATAAATGATTGATTTGTAGTTCACCAGGGCCAAGAGTTTGTGTGAGAGAGGGGCACACAGCCCCCCTGTGCCTCGAAGGCAGGTTGTGATGCTGAATAGAGAGCCAGGGCGGGGATGGACGGGAAGGCAGAACGTGCTGGTTGAGTTACAGCAGCAATAGCACACCTCCAGCCATCCCTAAAATGTCTTAATTGAAAGGATGGGTTTTTAAAGGACATAAATCTGGCTGATGAGTTGTTGCAAGCTCTTCTCTAGACAGGCATTATGCTCCTACCAAACTGCGTTCCCCTTTTAAACAAAAGGGGTGAATGGTTTTCTCCAGCAAGGAGGCTCCTTGAGAAAGGAAGTTTCCATGGAGACACTTCCTTGACTTAAACGATCTGGTTAGGGCTCGAGAAGAGGCCTGGGGGGTGAACACCACATCAACACAAAACCCACGATTTTGTAAAGCAACTGGGGTTGCCGCAGTGTTTTGTTTCCAACTTGATGCCCCTTTACAGGGGCCTGATTTTGAAAAAGTGCCAAAAATGTTGCCGGCTCAGAAATGTGAGGTGAGTGAAAGGTTGTCTCTGCTTAGCCGAGATCTGTTAGTATCCTAATCCATCTGTCTCTCAAAATACTGTGGGTTGGTGTAAGTAGGGCACATTTGTGGCAAAGCACTGCGAGAGGGGACGGCAATGGCCTGTCAGTAGGTACTTGCTTCCTTAAAACCTACCATCCTCAGCTGACAGTAAAACTGGTCCAAGAATAATATTTGTTTGAACCTCATTCCCAATGAAGAGTTTGCATAATACATTTGTATAGTGGATGACAACATCTTCAATGTTAAAATTGTTAAAGGTGAAGTCTGATTCTCCATCTTGCCACCATAAAACAATGAGACTTTTTAATGGCTTCTTATTTCAACAGTAATGGCCTATAGATGTATTTTGGGGTTGTAAGCCCAACTTGATCAAGCGTATGGATAATTATTGCTCTAGGATCTCCTAGTTTGTTGCTAATGACAGCTCACAGTGTCCAAGATGGGATCTTAGAGAAGCAGCTGCCAACTTTGACAGGGAACAGCCAACAGTAACGAAACTGCAATACAGACAGAAACTTGCTGCCAAGATGGATGGCTGCAGAGAAGTGGTGAGAAGAGCGACAGAAGCCTAAGGCGAAGTTGGTCGAAGGGGTAGGAAGAAGCAAATGTTAGAACTTCAGTTACACAATGGGTGAGGAGATTCAGGGAGTGCCACAGCAGCCTCAAGGCAGCGGCATCTCTGAAGGAGGGGAGCGGAAAGGAGCCTGGGGAAGGAAGGGGTGCTGGAAGTGGAGATTGGAGCAGCAATATGGCTTTGAGTCACAGGCCCCTGCCAAGAGAGCTGGAGCTAATCCAGGACGTTTGCAAAAATGACAAAATTCAGCTGAAAAGAGAAAGTGGGAGCTAGAATGGAGGAGACAGCCTTGATGTGCCAAGGAACTGAAGAGAGAGGCCAGATTTCACAGGTGTGTGAAACAGCAGAAGCAAATTTAATGCAGGCTTCTGTGGATGATGAGCAGCTCATTCCCTCTTGCCTTGCAGCGTCAGTACAGTGTCTTCTCGCAATCAGCACTGCTTTGGGATCATATCAGCAGCTGCCAGGCCCTGGTCTTGTGTTTGTAAAGAAGACTTTTTTGCTCTGCACCTACTGATTTCTGACCGCAGCTTTCATCTGTTGGCAGATGTCTTCGTGTTGTGTCCCACCTGGAAATACAATACAGAGCCTGCTGCCTTTTAAAATCAGCTAGATAACGTGTTTCTCTTCATACTGCCTTGGCGTAACTTTCCTGTAATGCTGGGTTTGTTTAATGTGTGAGGTCAGCTCAGCCATTTTAAAAATAAAACTGAAACCTTAAATAAAACCTGAATTAATTACTTGGTTCTCCTTCACTTGCTGTTTCGATGACCCTTGCAGTGACAGTAGAACTGAGTGGGGGTGCTTAAAGGAGGGATTGTGTTTCTCTGATCCATCTTGGATTAATCAGTTCTTATTGGATTGGGCAGAGTGACTACACTAAAAGCTGTTGCAGCAAGTGTGATTTTTACCACTCACATGTCATTAATGCTCTGAGAAATGTCAGTCTGGAAGCAGGATATAAACTACAGCCTGAGGAGGAAGAGAGGTGAGGGAAATTATTGCCTCCTGGATGCTTTTCTCCCAGTTAGGGATCTGAGGCTCCTCGCAGAGAGGAAGAAATTAGGGGAGGGTTTGGGATAGGTACCTATGACCACCTTCCCCAGCATCACTCTTCCTTGTGGGATCAGTAGGATGAGGCTGATGACAAGAGCAGGAGTTTATCATCCTACATACTTGTTTGCTCAAGTTGCCTCATTGCAATGAGGAGCAGGAACATCACGATTTGGGGAGGATGTGTGTGCCACCACAGCCCTCCTCCTGCAGTTCATCTCCTGCTTGTAAAACATCTGACCTGGATGTTTTACTCTGAAATCCGAGAAACCCAACCCGGTGCTGAGAGGGCTTTCTGAGCTCAGCCCCTGAGGAACATGGGGGTGAGTGGTGGTGGGAAGATCTGCAAAGCTCTCACGAGTCAGCTGGGTGCTGAGCCAGATTTTAGAGAGGGAGCTGGAAGAAAAGGGAACACCTTACATGGGGACTTAGCATAACCAACTAGAATAAGGGAGCTGATTTTACTTCATAAAATCCCCTCTGCCCAGAACAGATGCTCTTGCTGAAGACTGCTTCTCAACAGCTCTTTTTCAGGAAAGCCAGAGAAGTGACCTGTTTCTCTGTTTTTTTGTGAAGATGAGGAGCCCTGTCACTTGAGCAAGAGGAGCATTGCAGCCCAACTGGCTGGGATTGTGTGCGATTCTCTTTGCCATGATGTGGTAGTATCTCATGTTGGATGTCCTAATTCCATTAGAGAAAGGGAATCTCACTGGGCTGCCACCACCTCCTCAGCTTCACAAAGCAGGGCACCAGTCAAACTTACGCTCCTGGTAACATACCCATGAAAGTGCCCCTAAAAATGCTACTGGGTTGGTGTTTGGTGGCTCTACCTCCTGCCCCGTGGAGGATACATGGTCTATTTCTAGCTAGCTGCCATTTTCCATGATTTACGGGCAGAACTTTCTGTCCTGGAGGCTTCTTCCCTGGAGACGAACTTTGTTGCTGAGAGTGGGAGATGTTGGATAATGAATGATTTCAAGGCCTTAGGAAATGGTTGGTGTTGATTTCAGTAAAGTATAACTCATCTGAAGGCTCTTCAGAGCCCTAGGGAGTTTTCCTTAAAGGTGAATTCATAACCAAATTTAAAAGTAAATGATTAGTGGAGCTGTTTTTGATTGATTGCCAAATCAGTTTTGGAGTCAGATAAATAATTCCGAAGATTTCAGCCTGTAACCAAACATCTCTACAAAACTGAGGTCTCAACACATCTCCACTTAAGAAGCTGCTAGTGAAGTTGGTCCAGGCATGAGTCACCATTTCAAACCTTGGTGCCTGTCCACTGTGGGTGCGTTTCTGAGGTCCAAACCAGCAGAATATGACATTCAGGAGTGCTCTCCTCAGCTGCTCGTGTGTGTGCAGCAGGGTTGTGGTGGCACCTTTTAAATAGAGAAAAGGAAGGGCCCACTCAGCTGTGTGTGGGAAGGCAAACCCATGGCAAAGGCGATGAGCTTCTGCAGCAGTCCCGGTCAAGATGCCCTGGCTACAAAATACATCCCAGCCCTAGTTCTTTATTCCCAATGCCTCATTTTCTTCCATCTGCACAAGCAGGAAACCCCCATGTGATGATCTCAGAGGGGTGTCCTGGGGCTGCAGGTACATTTATTGTTATTTCTGCAGCACCTCTCACAGATCTTTAAAGTTTTACTTCTTCATTCCTAAATTTAGTGCCTTGTCCTCTTAGCTCCTGTGTGACTCTATGGTAAGGTTTACAGGGAGGGGCGATGCCTTGTGCTAGACCAGCTGATCTGCAGATGGAGAAGAAGGGAGGAAAGATAAGGAAAAGCTTTGGGGAACACACACCTTCAGTTCTGAGCCAGAGTGAAGTGACTGCTAAATCCTAGCGGGAACAGTTATTTTGTGCGTAGCTGCAGGAGATTAGTTTATTTGGGAGCGAGTTGGGGGAATTAGTGGTAGGAGAAGCAACATACGACAGAGAAGAGGTGTTCTTTATCACAGGCTGAAGGGAAAGCTGCAGCACCCCATGCAGATGATGCTGTTCCTGGGTCCATCGTTTTTAGCAGCACCCAGAAGACTTCCAAGTTTCCGTTTCCAAGCTCATCTTTCGGGAAGATCTGTGGCTTGAACACGGTGAGCAGGGAGCTTGCTGGGCTTCTCTGGCTGGTCCTTCCCCATTCCTGGGGCTGTAATGCCCTCTCCTGGCAGCTGAACTGGGGAGTTGTTTGTTTTTACGTTCAGTTTCCATGAGCAATGTAAAAAGAAGGTTTTTATGTTTCTTTTGGAGGCTGCATGCTGAAGGCAGCCCACACACACCAGCAGGGATAAGGAGATGGTCATGACACAGAATCTGGTGTCCCAGTATATTAATTCTCCTGCGATCACCCCATCTCTAGCTTTGCTCTTCTCTCATTTGTAAGTTATTATTTACACATAGGCTTTCTGACAGCCTCCTAAGGCAAATGTGTCCCTCCTAGGCCAACGGTTATGTGTAAGCCATTGAGGAGAGGCCCTCCGCTCCCACCAAAGCACAGGGTCCTGATGCTGGGTCCTCTGTGTACGTCAACAGGATGGGTGTTTGCAGACCCCCCCTGCTACTTCCCCCCAGGTCTGGTGGGGTTTTCTGGTGGGCCAGTGCTGCGCTGATGTACTGGTTAAGCCTGATAAGAGAGAAGGGGCATGTCACCACGGTGCTGTGATGGCTGGCAGAATTGAGAGCAAGACATGTCCCCTCTAAACACAGCGATGGCCAAAGTGAGCCAGGACCTGCCCCTCATCCCACACCTAAAACCACTAGCCTGCATAAATTTGGGGTTAGCAGCTCCTCTGGCAGTCAAGGTCAGGGTCCTTCTGGCCACGTGTGCAGCTGTAACGGTGTCCAGGACCTGAAGGGCAGGTAACAGCCCTCTGGTTTCTAACTGGTAGAGAGCTGAAGTGCTTAAAGGTTTCTCCTGGGGGCTGGACTGGCACAGGAAGGCAGTGATCTGGAGGGGGCAAACCGCTCCCCCAGCCCCACTCCTTTTTATTCCCCAAGCTCATGGCTGTATCAGTGATGATCCCTGAGGTGGGAAGCCTCCACCGCTTTCTTCTATTCCCCATGTTCCCTAAACACATCAGGCTCTAACCTCACCTCTCACCCAAGGTCTTTGTGCTTTGTAGGCACTCTGGAACACCCCAGGCTTTGGGAACAGCCCAACCCAGGGGGACTATAAGTTACCACCATGAAGAAGCCAGCAGGCAGGTCCCAGCCCGGGGAGAACCAGCACGAGGTCAGTGGCAATGCTGGGGCAGAGAGAGATGGTTGTGTCCCCACGCCAGGCACCATCCAGCTCGGCTTTCCCCTTGCCCCAGGGAGGGTGGGCTGGGTGCTGAAAGGTGGGGTTAAGAGCTTTAGGCAATGCCTCCACCTGCGCCGGTGTGCTGGGGAAGGGACATCTCATCGATGGTGGCTCCTCCTGGCCAGCCTGGCTCTGCTTGCCTGGGCCGCCCACTCGTGTGAAGTGTGAGGAGCACTCGGTGAGGTCTCTTGGCTCATCCTGGTGACGACAAATGTCACCCTAGAAGCTCTATGGTGACAAAGCAGCATGAGCCTCAGGCTGGGAGACATAGGGCACAGCACGGGTTTAAAAATCCCATGTGGTGGGAAACACCTTTGCTGACCTAAAATGGAGCATCGACTCTGAGTCCCCACAAAGCTCGTTGGGGCTCAGGAGCATCACAGTTCCCTGAAGGGCAACGCATGTGGTTTATAACCCCGGGGCAGTGGGGGACCTTGCTGTGACATCCCCACTGAGGAGCAGCAGGGTGTCTCTACCAGCTGGGGGGGACCCATCAGGGAAGGGGCTACCACGATCCTCCAGCTTCACCCACCGAAGAGGAGCGTGAGGCAGGAGGAGGCAGCACAGAGCAGCTGCCTGTGCGCTCACAAAACAAAACCCTGACGTGCTCCACTCCTGATATCCATCACGGTCCTCCCCCGCACCGTTTGCCTCATTACATCGCTTGGACACAGAAACATTCAGTCAAAGGTTGGTTTATCAGACCCTCTTCTTCCTCACTGGTCCTTGCACCTGTTTTTCCCCTCTGACACTCCCTTGGCTCTTTCGGGATAACTCAAGTTTTGTGCTCCCAGTCGCATTGCAACCCCCTGATTTCTGCCAGGAAAGAAAAACACGCTGCCGTTGCATAAAGGAGAGCCATAAAACACCGAAGAAGGGCAAGGACAGTCTCTCCCCCTCTTTTCACAACGCTGGCTCAGCCAGTCCCCGGCGCCAGCGGCAGCAGCCCCGCCGTGGGAGAGCAGGCGGTGGAGTTGCTGCAGCAACGGCTGCAAGAGGCAGAGAGTTCGTCGCTGCCGGCCGCTTTGAAGGGCGATGTGAAGCTCCCGTGGCTGCCCTCCATCCACCCAACGCAGCTGGCATTTGTGGGGGGTGGGGGGGGGGGCTGGTTCCCCACGCTTGGGCTGCACGGTGAATCCATCTGGTCCCTCCTCACTGCCTGCCCGAGGGGTGCGGCTCACTCCCAAACGATGCTCAGAGCCCCTCTCTGAGCCTCAGCACTCAGGAGGAATTGCCCGGCAATTTTGCCAGCCTGCGTTGATTTTTCAAGTTTACATGCTGGCTTTTGGGGGGTAAGTTTTGCACCTGATGGGTTGCACACTCCAGAATAAACTGCCAGGTCTTTGGCGCATCTCAGTGGGCTTTGTACCATTATTCACAGCCACTGCTGTCACTCGGGAAGGGACAGCAGATTTTTGTGGGGCAAAAGGGATTAAAAGTAACCCTGATCAATCCAAGCAGCCTGAGGAATGACAGTGAAGGAGGTACCCCAGGATGTAGGAGCAGGGTCAGGCCCTGGCTTCCCTGGAGGCTTGCCAGCATCCTGTAAAAGCTGCTGCTCTCCATTTGCATGGTGTCTCTGCTTTACCCCTAGCTTCCTCCCATCAACGCTTTGGGTGGGGCTGGTGCTCTCCCTGATTTTTGATGCTTCAGAGCCGTGTGTTGAAGGGTTCAAGCTGGGAGATGGGGAGAGAGACCCCACTGCAGCCTAGTCCCCCGGGGCTCAGCATGAAGCTGGCTGTCAGCATCTTTATACTAGGCATGCCTCACCTTGCAGGTCTGGCGGCATCTCTGCTCTCTTATGATGTGACTTGGAGCCACCCAAGGTCCCTTTCTCCCCCCCAGTCCATCCTCTGTGCCTCCACCAATGGACACTTCTGCTTTTCAGCGGGATCCCACTTGCTGCAAGAAGCAGACACTGCTCACCTGTGGGGTCTGTGCCAGCACACTGCCGTCCCCCAGGACAGCAAGGGCTGAAGTTTGGATCAGTTCAGGTCACCTCCTCCTTCTCCCCCCACCTCCCTTATCATTCCTGGAAACGCCAACGCCATAAACGTTGCCATTTCTGTCATTAATCTTGCAGGGATGTCGTTACCTGTGTGAGTCACCTGCTCTCAAGGCTCTGCAGCAGCTCATTGTGCAACCGTGTAGTGGTGGTGGGGGAATGATGTGTGAGCACAGTCAGGAGAGGGGATCACCCACTGACCCCTTCACGCTGCCAAGGCAGGGCACTGAAAGAGGACAAATGCCCCAAGCTGGGTCAGGGTTAGGGTGGGAAGACGTAAATGTATGGATTTCCCAACAAAATACTCCACATAATGGCCAGCAGCTGGCCAGGGGGACCGTCTCCACTCCCAGTTTGTATCATTCCCCCCATGGTTTTATCTTCTCCTGACACAAACAGAGGTAAAACTCGCCGGGGTTCAAGGCTGACCTGCCTCACTGATATCCCCGGGGTGGGTTTGTACAGCACCAGTCCTTTGCAGGAATTTTCTTTATGGGCTCATAAACTCCAAGGCTGGGCTCGCCAGTGGCAGGGCTCCAGCAGATCTTCGCTTGCCTTCATTGCCAGCTGCTGGGGGGGCCAGGATACTGACTGGGGCACTGGGCGAGGATTTTGTGCTTGAGATAAACTGGTGAACTCTGAGCTGAACATACTGAAACCAGAGCAGCTTCTGCCCAGCCGGTGAGTCCTTTGCCAGGTGTTTGCGGAGAAAACCACAGAGCTGAAGGCTTTGCATCTCTATACCCAGAAGAAAGCAAAAACACGGCGTTATTTTAGGGCACGGAACAAGGGTATTGGGGGTTTTCTTTGCTTGTTAGGAAGTGGGACTATGGTTATGTTTTAAATGACATCTTTACTTTTTTCAGGGCTCTTCCTTCCACTGCAGGGAGCGTTTTTTGCACTGATGATGTTGCTCAACACTGTCTCCTTATCCCCACGTACCCTTTGGAGTCCATCCATGCCATGAGGATGCAGCAGCTGGAAGAAAGGCAGCCCAGGCAAGGATGGCAGTGAAGCCCCTTCAGAAGGTGTTTTGGGGAGTGCTGACCTTGCTGCTTGTTTCAAAGGCAGAGCAAAGCTCTCAGGCTCTCTGGGTCCTCCACTGCTCCTCAGACCTGCTGGGCCATCCCCATGCCATGCCTCCCCTGGGCATGGATCTTCAGGACCTTCGTGTGACCCCATGATGAAGCTGGGCTCAACACAGCCACAAATATATAAGGAGAAAAATCCAGTGGATCAGCTCAGGAAATTAAAACTACAAGGTACCTGGAAAAGCTACTGTTGCTGCTCCCTACATCTCATCAGTGCTATCAGCCTTCTTAATCTCACCCTTTCCTGCCCTATTTATCAGGTTTCCAGCAGTCAGACCATACAGCAAGTAATATTTCTAGAGGCTCACACACAATCTCATGCCATGCTTCTTCACCTCAGCCAGCTGAGTATTAGCCGGAAGATGATCAGCAATAAAAGCAGCTGCTTCTACCTTCATAGCCTGCGGTTCCCTCATTTATTCAATATTCCAATTCCAAAGGGAGATAGATGATGATATTTTTGGACCTAGTGCTATGTACAGATTAGCAATACTGCTTTTGAAGTGGAATTCTTATATGCTTTCTGCTAATCATTAGGTTTCAGAGTGAACCAGCCTGTCATCTCTGTCACTCATCTTCTAATGAAGAGTTTCTCTTTGTCATACAAGCTGCCCCAAAACCACTGAGACATCATTTCTGCCCTGTTTTTCCTCTCTCTGTTTGCAAGGACAGCTTGCTGATTTTGCTTTTGAGGGACCCTCTGATCTGTCTTTTATCCAACAAGAAAAATTCCAATGTGAGAGACCACAGGAATGAAAAAACTGCACCGGTGGTGTTTCAGAGAGCCCTCCGGGGCTGGAGGGGATGTTTCTTTAGCCTCTCATGCAGCAAAGAGCTTCTTAGGAGCAGGAGGAGCTGCGTGAGGTTGTACAGCTTCCTAGCTCAAGAAACTTTACAGTAGGATTTTACCTCTCTGGAAGTCCAGGGTGCATTGGAGGTTACAGAATAAAACCACACAAACTGCTTTTATTGTACTGACCTGCCTCCTCTCCCCCTCTGAAGGAAGTTATGTCTCTAATAGGATTTAGATATTAAAGCCCAAAACCATTGCAAAGAAAATAAGTAAAATAAGCAGCTTTTGCATCCAGAGTGGCTCAGAAATCTGGTGCATGGGGCTCGCAGCGTGGGAAATGTTTTCACAGAAGCTGTTTCGGGAGATTTAATTCTGAGGGTCAGCGATGATACATCTTGCCCAGATCCCCTTAGGGATATCTCCTCAGACCCCATCCTCTGCAAGCCTCATTCTGCCAATGCAGGATTTGAATACCAGCCACTCCTGCTCTGCCTGGGCGAGGGATGAATCAAACCCAGCTTCACTCGCAAGTCCCCGGCATCTCCCAGAGCCATGCGGTGAGCAGCTGCCTGCGTCCCATGATGAGATTTTAATTTTTCCAGCCTTGGGGACTGAGTTTATTAAGCCTTGCGTGGCCCCTCCTACCGTGGGAGGGACAGCTCCAGCAGCCTCTCTAATACTGGGTGTCACACAGCGGTGCCACCATTCGGGTCCCGGAGTGTCACAAGCAAAGGACACAACAACCCAAGTGCAGCAGAAAGCAAAAATAACCCTTCCATGTGTGTCCCAGCGAGGTAAGTCACCTCTTCTCTCCTAACTCTTAAAGATGCTCCTGCCCGGTGAAATTCATCCCTGCCTGCTTTTTCCTGCCTGCCCTAAAAGTTAGCACCATGTGTGTGGGGGGAATTTCTTTGACTTTTCCTTTTTTTTTTTTTCCTTTGGACTTTTGAGTGTGTTAGTTGGGATGTGACAGCGGGTGATTGAGCTGCCCGGATCCCAGGGAGAAACAAAGCCTGAAGAGCCAGAGAGTGGGGAGAACCGGTAACAAAAGGGGAGCGAAGGGGGTGATTTGTGAGCAGGGGGGTGTTTGATGGCTGGTCGGGGGAGGAGAAGGTGCTCAGCATTCCGTCTTCACTCTCGGGGTCTGCCCTGGATCAGTTGGCTGCGACCTGTTGAGGGGAGAAATGGGAGCTGGGGTGAGATGTGAGCGGCGGGTGGCTGGTGGGGTCGCTGGAGCTGGGGCGGCGGTGGGAGGGAAACGGCGGCCGAGCCTTTGCAATGCTTGGGATAAAGGGCTGTTTCCATAGTAAAAGGGAGAAAGGAGCCTCTCTTTTTCTTCCCCTGAGCTCGCCTAGCGTGTGAACAGGGAGGCCGACTCATGAACAAATAACCCGTGAAAGGGTAACATCTGGGAACAGCTGTAAATAATCAGGACCTGGTTGGAAAGGCTGGAAGCAACCTTCTGCTCCGACATTTGCCCCGCTGTTGCACGTCACCCTGGGAGTTTTGATGGGCAACTCTTTGGAGAGCAGTTTGGTTCGCAGCCGAAGGCAGGATTTGGCCCTGGCTTTGATCTGCTGTTGTTGTTTGAATACTTCTACATTATTTGTAGGTATAACCATAAATAACAATGGAATGGGTGCATTTTCACATCTAGGAACGAGTGAATTTTCATTCAAGGTCAGGTGCTCAGCTGACGTGAACCTGGGGACCAGCACCAGGTCAACTTTGGGTGGGATTGTGCAAACTTTGATTAGCTGGAGGGCCAGCCCGTGGTGTACATCACCTCCTCTTCACTTCTGCCTTTTCTTTGGGAATCCTAGTCTCACAGTATAGTGTCTCTCAGGACTCATCCTCCAGCACGTGATACCAGGTGGAAGGGCAAGACAGAACGGAAATAATTTCCTACAGCTGCTTAAAGCTTTTAAGCTGCATTTAACAACAACAACAAAAAAAAAAGCATAATGTACCACGGGACCTGCTGGAATTTAATTTAAAAAATGTTCTGAATGTGAAGGGAGCCAAAGCTGTCGCTTCCTTTCCAACTTTGCTTGAGAAAAATTTAAAAGGTGTGCAAGATTTCCAGGGCAATTCAAAATCTTTTCAGAGAAATACAAAGATGTGTTTCACGACCAGTCCTGTGACTTTCTTATGCTATGACATTGCACTGAGGAGGTGACCAGATGTGGTGTCTTTTGAGCTTTATGTGTCATTTCTAGTGATGAAGATGCAGTTCTTTAACTTTGGTGGTAGTAGCTTGTTGTGAGACAAGACCTGGAGCTTACAAAGTGCCGCTGTGCAAGTTGTCACCATACAGTGGTGTTTAGTGTGATAAAATATCAGCCAAAATTTAAGAGAAAGATTTATTTTTTAAAGTTTGTGGCCCTTTGGCAATGTATACTTCATTTCCTTGCTGTATGAGAGCCCAGAAGCCCTCCTTCAGGCAAACATTTCCCCTTGCGTGCAAATGGCTTCAGGAGTTGACACCCATCAGCTGAGACACATGTGCTCCTGCCTCCGTGCAACGTGGAGCAGATCCTGCCCAGGGGCAAAGCCCCAGCTCGGTGGCTTTGCATGGGGGACAGGCTGGAGGGGGCTCTGCGATCTTTGCTCCCTGGGGACTGCAACGCTGTGCACGCATGCAGCAACAGCCTGGCTTTTGCCCAAACCTAACTCCTTAGGATATTTTTTGAAGGAGGAGGTTTGTGCCTTGTCTTAGAGTGATCACCTATGGTTTGGCTTGTAGGACTTCCCCAGAGACCTCTGCGGTGTGCCATAAATGAGGGTCTTGGGGTACTTTTTAGAAGAGCAGATAGGATAAGAAGTTGGGAAGACCCTTACTGGAAGGAAAGAAAGGGAGCTGGTGTGGGAAGAGCAGCTTGGAGACATGACCTGTGATGCACCCTAGACCGTGTCTTCATGGCAGGATGAGCCCTGAGAGCAGCATGGGCTTGTGTCCACGTTGTGACCTCTACTCTAGGTACAGGCAAGGGAGCTGAGCAGGATGCCTGGAGGTGCTCATCTCTTCAGCGTCTTGTCCTCAACCCGTTCTTCATGTGCTGGACACTGCTCTCCCAGCAACGTTCCAGGAGGACACATGGCTGACTGCTTTTTGGTGGCTCAGGGGCTGGCATTTTATAAGATCCCAGTAAACGGAGGGTGGACTTGGCTCATGTTGCCTGTGACTCTCCCCACCAGCAGGACACTGGCATCTTTTCCATTTCTTGTCCTCTCCATAAAAAAGGAGGGAAGAAGAAACAGCGATACTTTAGAGGGTTGAACAGATTGAACATGCCCATGTCCTGGTCTCATAGTGGTCCTATTCTCCTGTCATTGTTTGCCTTGCAGGACTTTGTGGTGTTCCCAGGGAAGGTCCTGCATTAAGCATGATGAGGAGCTGTTCTCAGGGTCAGGATGGACTCTCTATGCACCCTGCCCAGGTCCTTTCTGGTGGCTGGGCAGCTGTAGTCTATGTGAGCACACATGAGGGAGAGAAGAGGAATCATGTCCTGGGACTCATCCTCTGCACATCTGGCGCCGAGGGAAGGCTCTTGGGGCCACCACAGCATGCCAGAGCTTTTCTTTAGTTAACACTTCCAAGGAAAGGTGACAAGGGCAAGAAGTTAACCGTGATGGTGGTGCACTATAATAGCAGCAGGCAGGGAGATAGGGCAGGGTTCGGTGGGGGGAATGTGTACCTGTGTGACTGAGGTTGTGGCTGCTGCCCATGGGGGCATTTTTGATGTCAACCCCACTGTTGGGTGCAAAAAGAAAGAAGAACATTATCTGCAAGCAGGAAACAGCACGGGAGCAGCTCGAAGCACAACTCAGGCTGGAGTCTCATAGCTTGTGTAGAAAAGCTTCGGAGTCAGTCCCTTCCTTACCCTCCCACTTTCCTCCATTCTCCAATGCAACAGTGAGAAATTCCTTGTTTCTCCAGCCTCCATCAGCTCTAATTAGGCTGGAAGCCCCTGGAGGGTTTTCAATCCCTGAGACGTTCGTACAGCACTGAGTTTCTGTGACAATTATGGATCCAGTCCCCTCTGCTCCCGCAGCCCTGGCTGCTGCCACTGATTCAGCCCAGTCCTTTCGGCAGCTGCTCTTAATCGCTGAACTTATTTTGGAAGGTCTCCAGAGTTGGAGGAATAAAAGACACTTTAGAAAAGGGGGGAGGTGTGTGTGTGTGTGGAATTGGCAAGAATGATTGCTTTTTAAAAGACTACTTATTTCTTAAGATGTACTGATTATCCTTTGCTCTCTGATTGCTTTAATTGATTCATGCCTTAAAGCAGTCAGAAAGGTTCTGTGGGGTTATGATAGCTCTCTCCTAAGTGCTTGCTTTCCCTGCATAGCTTTTAAGAACTTTTGGTTGAGTAAACCCCATTTTTTGCAAGAAAAGCAGGTGAATAACACCAACCCTTTTACCTTCTCCATCCCCTGGATTATCCAGCCCCCATCTTAGTGCTTTACCACTGCGACCTCTTTCTTCCCTCTCTGCTGACAGTTGTCAACCTGTTACCAAGCTGAGCCTGTCCCATATTCCTCTGCAATTCACGGTGAATGATGATTTTGGGGGATGATTTTTTTCGTCCTTCTGTCAGAATGAGGCACTATAAGGTTGGGAACTACTGCCCTCAGTAAGCCTGTTGTCTTCCATGTAGTCCCACCCATCAAACCATCCGTGGTCCCCCTGACTGCTTCATTTAACCCCGCATGGAGAATTTCTGTGGCTGTCCTTTGTATGGCAGCAGGGATAGACCCACAGCCATGGGGGAGACAACTCCCTGGATGTGGTGACCTTGGCCTCTCCATGCTGCTGGCTGGGTGACAACAAGTGGCCCTGACCCCCTCTGTCCTTGTGGAGTGAGGGATGAGATGCACGTGGTAGAAAGAGCTTTTTGGAGAGAGGCGCTTGTTGGGCTGGAATGAAGTGAAACACAATCTATAGGTGAGAAGGGATTCAACAAAGATCCAGAAAACATTATCATCTGAAAGTGCCACCAGGGCTGGTGCGTCAGGAGAGCCTGTATGGGATGTCAGAGGCTTTCTGGCTGGCTCCTGGCACGAAACCGGTGCATTTTTGTCACTGCCGGCCGTAACCACAGAGTCCTTGTGCCTTGACCCAGGCACAGACATCCAGGGTTGGATCTCAGCACTGGAGGAGCTAAACCAAGCAGAGAAAAACTGAGCAGGGCAAGGTCCATCGTGTGCTTGGTGGTGCCTGGCTCTCCCTGATCCTGAAAAATGTTTTCCTCATCCCATTATCTGACATCTGCCTGGTCTGAGCTTTTCTATGGGGGGTGTCTTCCAGGTAGCCATGGGCTTTGGTGCCCGTACCAAGGCAGCTTGTGAAGCCGAGGATGCAGAGATTTTTTGGGGGGGAGCTGGAAGGGTTACAGAGCTGAGCTGGGCTCACTGGGTTTGAGTGATGAACGCCCCTTTGTCTTGGGCTGGGTTTGTGCCCTGGCACTCTGGATATGTGTGGGACAGTTCATCTGCCCTTGGATGAGTTGAGTTGTGCCTCTTTCTCTTTGCTGGCTGTACCAGGAGCTCAGGGTGACTGCTCAAACACAGAGGAGTTGAGTCCAATGGCTCTTCCAGGAAGACCAAGGGAGGAGTGTAAACACCCAGTCACAGTTCTACTGTTAAATAAATTGTTCCCTTCCTCCAGGCTGCTGGATTGTGAGTGCTGCTGGGTGGTGATCCGGCAGAGCTGACTGTGCTGGGTGTCCTGGTCCCCGAGGAGGTTCATCAAGGTTCTGCCCATGAGTTGTCTGCACTGGTCTTCCTGCCT